GACAGCTACTGCACACAGCACCCCACATAACTTCATCAGTATGAGATTATAAACACAGGACATGCAGAGTACATGAACTCAGTATGGCCTGTTGGCTGTACTCTCCAAACTGAACTGATGTGTGCGTTTGCAGGCTGCTGTTAAATGCAACATTTCATCATGTAGCGTCATTATATTAACTGATCTAATGGACTTGTTTACAGCTGGTTTTATACTCCAGTGTGGCACTTGCATGAGTTGATCTGCAGTCTTGATTTTTCTGACTTGTAGCTTCTGTCAGTACAGCTAAAGCGGGCTGTCAGTTTAATGGGATGTTTAAACTGGGTGAAAGAATAGACACTAACAGGTGAGCAGTCATTGTCTCTAACAACTGCAGGGCTTTAATGTGAAAGAAAACTGTCTACAGTGTACAGATAAAACGAGAAGTTAGTTAAAAGGGCTGGTGTACAATCTTAAGCACCATTGCATGTAAGGTAAATAAATACATAGATATGATGCATTTATTAAGTAACATACAATGTTACAGTATGATCAGAGGTTTTGCAATAATAATATCGTTGGTAGTATTGGTAGTATTACAATAGATGGACTGGGGCTGCCACTAATGATACATGTTCATTATTGACTAATCTGCTGACTATTTATTCCATCAGTGGATTCATTGTTTCGTCTTTGACGGCCTGCTCCGCAGCTCTGTCAAAAGTCCCAAAAATATTTAATTTAAAATGATAGAAAACAGAGAAAAGCTGAAATCTGAGGAGCTGGAATCTGAGCGTGTTTGCAGTAATAATTAGTTTATTATCAAAGTAGTTACTAATGGATTTTCTGTTGATTGAGTGATTGATAAATTGGCTAATTATTTCATATCTGAAATTACCTTGTCAGTGAAACCATCTGCTGTAAGGGCTTGGTTGGAGTGGAAACCTGCATAGTCCTGGGTTGTGACTGAAAAAGTCACCTAGAACTACACTTTGTAGATTATGTGAGACTGCATTCATTCAAAGACACTAAATGTAACATTTTATCACCAATCAACACAATGCGGCTGAAAAATGAAGCCAACACTGAAATACTGAAAACTGCAGTTCCTCTAATGATCACTAGAATCTGGCTTCAGCAGTGAGTCAATCCCCATAGACTCCAATGTTAAAATCACTGTCACTTTACAGCAAAAATAAACATGTTTAAGCTCTGCTACAAAAGACAAATTTTCCCCTTCATGACAACTGTATGGGGATGAACTTTTAAATAACTCAACCATTCAAATTTTATTAATGCTTAAAGTTTTTTAGGGCGCTTTGAGTGCCTTGAGTGACAGGTGGGTGACTGTATTCTTGCCACAAACTGGCATGCACTGAAGTCTCTGCTTGACACACGCCCCACCTCTTTGCCCATTTCTGGATTAGCCGGGAATTAGGTGCAGTCGGACACTGCCAAGATGGTGACAGTGCAGCAGCCCACTCTGAGCCTCAAAACTGCTCTTCAGAAACCTGTGGGTGACGTCACAGAAGCTACGTCCATCTTTATTTACAGTCTATGATCGGCACATTAGAATAACCTCCTTAAACTATAAAGATCATTGCAGAAGACATATGCAGCCTCTGTTCACCTCCACACAGAATAAGTAAAAGTTTCTCAGTGCAGTTATTCATTTTCCTCATCATTACCTGAGCACCAAGATAGAGCCAGTGCACTTGCTCTCCAGACCTGGTCTAATCAAGCAAGAGGTGCAGCCAACTCCCTGATCTTAATATATGTATCAGAATCAGTGTCAAGTACATCCTCTTTGAGAAAATGATGTTTTAAGTCATTGTATTAGTTCTCAGTCGCAGCTTGTTTCAGCAGCCAGACAGCAGTGTCTTCAGAGGGGATGTGAGTTACTGTATCGAAGGAAACCTGGGAGGGACGTTTGTTTCTGTTCGTGTCTGTATCTGTGTGCCAGGGTTTACTCAGAGTTTACAGTAACAGGGATAGAATAGCAGGGGTTACAGACTGTCTTTGTATTATTCATGAACTTGCTCAGTGTATACATTAAACCACATGAGTGGGTGTGGTGTGTTTCTGATGTCACACCCATTTTATCACAAAATAAACCAAATCAAGAAATCACAGAGACGTTTCTGTGGATCCCACCACAACTCTCCACACACACTTATTATCCTGCATCCATTATTCAGTGAATCAATTAGGGTAGAGAAGATTTAGTGTTTAATTACTTTTCATTTGCATGCATCTGTTGTTAAGTGGGCTCTCTCATTTGTCTTCCAATCCCAGCCACCGAAATACTGAAGGAAGGAAGGAGGGAGGAAGAAAAGAGGAAGTAGGGTATTTATAGAACAGTGCTTTGCAAGGAAATCTTTATCAAGGGTAAAAGAAAAAAACAGCTATCAGTGGTGTACTGTTCCTTGGATTTCTTGGCCAGTTCTGTAGCTTGATGGTGTGTTTTCTTATCCCTGTGGAAAGCCAGCCAGTTCTAATACCAGTGACCTCATGTTTAGATATTTTCAGCACAGCTAAAAAGAAGTCCAGTAGGAGGAATATTTTTCAGAGTGTATGAATTATCAAACAGTAAACGTCTCAGTTTCAGCCTCTCAAGGCTTTCCTCTGGACTCACATAGTTCTACACACTTTGAGGCAGAAATCTAAAGTATGAGAAACTTCTCTGCTGATTGTGGCCTTGTGGATTAAAATGCAGTGCAGACACAAACTTGTTTTTTGAGAAAGGATCTCATTTTTATTCAGCTTTCTTGCAGTTACTATCAGTAGTTCTACTGCCCTCTCCACCGACACTGACAGAGTAACATTTTGAATGCAACTACTCCTCATGTGTCTTCTGGTGAACAGTGAAGGCACTCTGGGAAATGTAGGAAATCACTGATGAGAGAAAATGGGCACTGAAAAAAAATAATTTAGTGCTCTATTAATTAGTCTATTGGCCACAACATGGACGTATTATCACCCTAATAAGTTGTTATAGTGAAACACATAGCAAACAGTTGGTTTACATATCCACTAGACAAGGAGCAACATGAACACTCTGAGTTGTTTCTAGTCACGTGTTGAAAGTAACTCTAATATCTACTCTCCGTTTAGCTCTGTTTTGGTCATCACTGACTCCTGAGGGAATTATATGGCTGTTTAGCTGCTAAATGCTCCACTATGTTCATCAGTTAGTCACTAGATGGCAGTTTGGTTATGTTACCCTATGAGTAAGAGAGATGGAGCGAACCAAAGAGCGAGCGTGTCGTCATGCTCTCTCTCACTCTTTCTTGGATACCCTGAGCGATGACAGCACGTTGACAAATACATTTTATGACTATGTTAAATCAAAATTGTCACCACAAACAAAACATTAATGATTTACATTTAATATTCACAACATTCACAATGTTCACTCAAAATCAGCAGGGGGAGGAGCGTAGAAACAGCTGTTTATGGCTTTCATCTCTCTCTCACTGACTGTCCAAATATTCTATTTACGACCACGAAAAATCTGTCTTCTGTCTGCCTATCGATCTCCTCCACTCTATTTAACCACAGTGCTTCAATGACAGTCAGGCTGTGTGGAGTGAGTGAGTGAGTTGAGTGAGTGAGTGAGTGAGTGAGTGAGTGAGTGAGTGAGTGGAGTGGTTGTGGTGTGTGTGTGTGGGTGTTGTGTGTGGTGTGTGTTTGTGTGTGTGGTGTGTGGGGGTGTGTGTGTGTGTGTGTGTGTGTGTGTGTCAGTGTTGCAGGCATCCTTTGAAATTACAGCAGCGCAAATTAAATTTAACATTAACATAATACTAGAAATCCTGATAATAACAAGTTAATACATCAACGGGAAAACAAGTCAAATATCGTCTTGACATTGACAAAGGTGTAAGCCATCAGCAATCGTTCTGATCATCATTGATCACCGAGTTCATCGCCCGTCAGCGCAACCCTAGTCTGCGAAACAGAAAACCAGAACAATGAGCGCAAAGACACTAAAACCGTCTTTGTTGAGCTAAGTTAAATGATATTTTTCTGTAGGTTTCAAATGCAAGCTTGTGATGTGTCACACTGGACCTGAGACACAGTTTAAATCATTCAGTAATGTTGACTTACAATAGGCTGTTAAACATGAGCTCGTAAGAGCAGATAACTTGTCAGTAACTTGATAGAGTGAAAAGCTCTTCCACTGCTGCACTGACAACAGTTTATTTTATTAGCTCTACAGTATTGTTGAGTTCAGGTCTTGTTCTGCAACATCTACAGTGTGATACTCTTTGTATTCTACACACTGTGTCTTTAAATCCCTTTCCCAGTGATGAATTGGTGCAGCTGCGCTCCCGACTGTCACACCCCGACAGCAGTGTGTTAGATCACCTAACTAATAGCCTTTTTACTTTGCACACAAAGACATATCCATCTTAAGTTTGAATATGCCTTGTCATGAGCTCGGCACTTAAATCACAAAGTACAATTACCTTGTCATAGTGTGGAAGCGAATCAGACTTTGACCTCACACTGCCTCTTTTACGTTATTAGGACCTTATCTTGAAGTGTAGGAAGCATAAATTAAAGTCTATTATAAGATCATTGTGTGTTTGTAAACTGTCATCTGTCCATATATATGTTCTCAGTAGGTTTCTCTGCTGTAATAGCAGGAAGAACCAGGTTTGTGAGGAGACTTTGGGGTTGTGGGGGGGGTGGATTTTCCTGGTATTCATATTTTCTATTCTCCATTGTACCGAAGTATCTTTCCTCTCATTGGTCAAAAGTCCTGGCTTTGTTGGTTGTTATTGGCTGGCATTTTTGTCTCTGTATTTCTATTGTGTGGTTTCCTTCACTGGCTCTTTGTGTGCTGGTCGATGCTTATGTGGCCCTTGATGTTGTTTCTCTTGTTGGATGGCATGATGTCTCCCTGTCTCTTTGACCGAAGCTGCAGCTCATCTAACACATCGTCTCGTCTCTCGGCTTCTGTCTCTGCCACTCTCTGTGACCACGGCACTGACCCGGCCTCCTCTCTCTCCCTATAGGCTAGCCACACTGGTATGCGCTCGTACATTTACAAGCAGAGCTCTGTGATTGGCTCGCAGGCGGAGCACACTGGGATGCGGACGTATTACTTCAGCGCCGACACCCAGGAGGACATGAACACCTGGCTGAGGGCCATGAACCAGGCCGCGCTGATGCAGAACCACGCAGACGCTCTCATCAGGTACACACACACACTCACATACACACAATGTGTCTCACTGAACTGAACACCTTACACGCATTCATTGCCCCAAACAAGGCAACTGAACTGTACAATGTCAGCAGCATAAAAAAAGTCTGAGTCCATTACTGACAAAGCGTTAAGTCCTCCTCCTCACACCGTGAGTGCCCCCTTCTGTTTGTTGCTAGTATTTTGATTCCTTTACTCCTTCAGATGAACATCTTTAATCTTTTGTATTTCTGATTGAGATGTAAAGTTGATTAATGTCCTTCATACGTGGCTTTTGCTATCTAAAACCTGAACCTCAAATGTTAATCCTCCATCAGTCCATCTTTGGTGCAGAGCATACTGTGCTGTACAGTGCTGTGGTGATACTGTGGTACTACACTTCCCAGAGTCCACCTGGTAATCAAGCAGGAGGCCCATCACTGTTACATTGTCTTTTTGCTGTGTTTAACTAAAGAAGTGACATTTGTTTTAGTCTGCCTTGCTTAATGACATGAAACTTTATTGAATTCAGTTCCTGTCCAGTTCATTTACATTTGAACTGTTGTTGTAAAACGTTTGTTCATTCTAATACACCCTGCGGTTCTCGGGATAGTTTATTTTATTAGTTTGTGTTACGGCCACAGCAAAACATTTGACCCAACCTTGTGTCCAGCAACATATAGAGGGGACGCCATAGAAGGTCAATTATCACAAATGATTATTTTATTTACAAACTACAGCAAAACTTAACCAAAGCCAAGAGAGTCTGGAGGCCGGCCAAAAAGACCAAATGAATTCAGGGAGTCTGGGCCAGCCACCCAGAGCATCCCCCCTAAACTAACCCATAGAGAATAACTAAACTGACAAACAAACACTGAAAACAGGAGCACCAGACCTCCATCCTCAGAACAACAAAGAAAACAGAGGGCTGCTTCGTGTGTGTGTGTGTGTGTGTGTGTGTGTGTGTGTGTGTGTGTGTGTGTGTGTGTGTGTGTGTGTGTGTGTGTGTGTGTGTGTGTGTGTGTATGTGTGTGCAAGAGAGCTCTCCCTCTCCTCCAGTCCCCATTATATATGCTGTGGTGGGCGGGGCCATGCACTTATTCTCCCTTCACTCACACTTCCCCCTCTCCTCGGGAGAACCTGGGAACAGTTTGTTGGTTTGATTTCATTATGTTTTGAGATGTCATGACTGAGGTTGTGTCACGGAGGGGAGATACATTCACTCTCGGTGGCTGCAGCATGGACTACAACCCATCATGGCTTCCAGCAAAAGACTACAAAACCCATAGTCAGCAGGGCAGCCAGGAGAATGGGGGCTGCCCAGCTGAATCAGAGGAGCTGACTGCCGTGAAGGGACTCAGTGTATGAGGGACAGAAAAAGTCGTGTGATATCAATAAGACAGAGGAATAGACTTTTGTTGATCTTCCGACTAAAGAGAATTAAGTGGACCTGTTTTGAGAAGAGTGAATATCCTGAATTTAAGTTGAAACACAGGGGCTCACTGTCTCCATTTCCTGCACCCACGTCTCAAAACATCAGGAGAAAAGCTCCCTACCTCACACAACATCACAGTTTATTTATTAATGTGCAATTAAAGACATTTTCGTCACTTATAATCCCTGATCTATGATCCAGCAGATGTTTTAAATATGTTCCACTATATTGTTTATAAATACTTGCAACCCAACCCTGATTCTCACAGTCCATAAAACACCATCTGGGCTAAGTGATCGTGTGACATGACACTATTTGTCTGTGATACTGTATACGGTCCAGTTGGTATATGCTATAAGCACATGGCTTCTGGAAAGTGTTGCCATTCGATTGTCTCATATATCACTGCAGGTGATTCCTGGAAAACATCCCACTCTGCTGTTTACAGCTTGAACACATGTCTGTCAGTCCCGACGTTACAGCGTATAGCGAGTGTAGTGCGTTTGTTTATGTGCGCTCGCTCGCCTGCTTTTTCAAAGAGTACACTCTGACGCTGTGAAATGCTGCTTTTGAACGAGCACTGGCTTCCTCTATGTATTATTCATGTGTTGACGAGGGGAGGTGGCACAGATCAAATGCGTCCCGTCACTTCACTGGCAGCCTCAGACATCGGCAGCTCGGCGCTGCTTCGTTTTCATTTTGTGTTTTTGGAGAGAGAGAGAGGGGAAATCCCTCAAGACCACACGAGCTGTTAGTGAATGATAGGAGGGAAACTTCACAGTTTTAAAAATGAAACTATAACAGTAATCTTACTATTTGCTGGCATGTCACCCTCCTTTTTAAAGCGCTTGGTCACTTTAACAACATGCAAATGCTTTTTTAACAACCACTGATTGAGTGCACTTACACTGCAAGCCACACACTACTCTAAGACTGGAAGAAACTGTCTTGTTTGCCCCATTTAAAACAATCTAATGTGGACAGACCATTCATACCTTAGTGCTAATTTACATGTATAGTGACCATCTTCAGATACCAGCTGCAGGCAGCAAGTATGCGGCTGTTAATTCCTTTTTTAAAAGTCAAATTTGGTGCATGCTTCATTGAATTTCAGAGACCTGACTGTTTCTCGTGCTTCTTGTCAGACAGGATTTCATTAATGCATCTTAAAATCTTGCTGTGGTTACAAGGCTTTGCTCGTCGTCTGCTCTGATTTAAGATGGCCTGTGAGGTGCGTGTAGCACTGTCCCTGAAGTTGGGAATGAGGCTAAAAGTTTCCCTTTAATGTGACAGTCATCTAGTTTAAATTCAGCTCAGCACATTAGAACAAAGACTAAAACCCCTCAAATGGTGGAACATGCCGTCCATGGGAAATCGGGGAAGTGATCAAATGAAACAGAACTGGTGCTTATCAAAATAAACCCACTAAGATCTTTAGAGAAGTTTGAGCTGTCAGTGTAACTGCTGTGGTTAATTATTTTCTAGTTCTCTCAGGAATCTAAGTTGCCCAGTATTGAAGAGAAAGTTGCAAAAATTTTAAGGCCAGTATTTATCCAGGCTTCATGTCATTTCTGTTCTCCACAGACCATCTGACAAGTTGGAGAAGTTGAGCATGTTGCAGCAGCAGGCCGTCCCGCAGACGAACAACGTGAACCATCACAGGACCAAGACTTCAGACTCCGACGCCACCAGACCAATCATCCACGAGGTTCTCCTGGAGCCCATACGCCGCGAGGCAGAGGAGCGCTGCAGCTTCCACAAAGACTCTCCTGCCATCACCATGTTGGAGCACCCCATAGGAGGCGGCGGCCTGGAGATGGACACGCACACCTCCCTCCCTTCCAACCCCACGCCCTCCGCCCTCCCACAGTCGGAGCACGTTTCGGCCTCGGCGCCTGTGTCCAGGGTGCCATCCAGAGCGCCGTCGCGAGCCGCCTCAACGCTTCCCTCCAGCGTCTGCACACGGAACGGCCTCGTTTCCACGCCCAGCCCCATTCTGGAGCCCAACGGGATTGCAGCAGGGACGTACCAGAGGGCCCCTGCTGACACACACAAGCAGGTGCAGAGGAGAAGCGCCCTGGATCAGGTGGAGCAGTGGGTCCAAGTGCAGAAGGCTGAGTACAAAGGGTAGGTCACTGTCATCCACTGTGTGCTTCCCTTGAAAAGCTTCCTTTCATTCAGAACATATAAGGTCAAGTTATTGTGTCTTATTTTAAATAGAAAAACACTGATACTTTTACTCTCAAGTATGTAGATATTCTGTGTATGTGTATAAAAACATCCTCTCGTGTCCTGATGTTCCTGATCAACAGCCCGCCATCCAGAGAGAACACCCTCCCACGTCGCACGCCACCAACCCAGCACAAGTTCACCTCCGTGGACGCATACCAAACCCTGCCAAAGACTCCTCGGCAGAGTCCCCCTCCTGGCCGAATCGGTGAGTACAAGTACGCCCAGGACCGCCTGAGCCACTTCCGCCTCACCCCAGAGCAGGGCGGCCCCGGCTCCAACACCGTGTGGCAGCTGTACGAGTGGCAGCAGCGTCACCAGTTCCGTCACGGCAGTCCCACGGCGCCGCTCTACACCCCGGCCCCGGAGTACCCCTTCGGCCCCCGCCCACCATCCACTGTGCCTCCTTCCTCCTCAGCCCCCAGGTCAGAGGGGCCTCCTCGCTGCGTGTCGGTGCCACCGTCATCTGCAGACATCCCTCCGCCGGGGCCCCCACCGGGCAGCAGTCGAACTCTGTCACCCACGCGGAGGCCACACACGCCAGCTGAACGGGTGACAGTCAGGCCGGTGGGTGACCGGTCAGTGGTGGACATCCCGTTTACCGTGTCCCCCCGCAGGACCAAATCCCAGCTGTTCAAGGTAAAACTATGTCAGAAATCTCAGTTTTCTGCAAACAACACCAGGTGTAACTAACTGAAATAAAACTTCAAAAAGATTATATATACGTATATCCAATATATATAAAAGATTATAGGTAATGCTGTCATGCAGTGTCAGTAAACAACACAGGTTCAGTTTTACCATCCACGAACCGTCTGTGATGCTTCACTCATTCCTCGCTCCACAGCGCTCAATCAGCTGATTAATAATCTAGTGTCCCTAGAGTATATAATCAAGTAAAAGAGAAAAGAGAAGTCATAGGAAATATAGGCTGACCTAAGAGGAACAGGTGCTGTAGTGATAACATGTATAGATATTGCTGGTTAGTCGTGTCATATGGGTGATGAGTTGATTTCTCTTGTCAGTGCGTTCTCTTACCAGGATTGTGTGAAATTAATACCGTCTTGTTTGTGCTCTTCCAAAGATTAGACCATTAACACTTTTTTTTCCACTGCCAAGTGTAAAATATCAAATGGAATAATTTTTCATGCAGAACCACGTCAGTTATTCTGACAGTGTGGGGCGGATATTGGAACTGTGCTCCACTGAACAGAGTAATTGTTTTGGTGCCTCGGGGCACAAAGGCAGACGTATCCTGAAGTCTGTTAAATAATCTCAACTGTATCAGCCATCAGTCAAAAAGAACCTGTGCTACGTGTATGTATATTTTTTTCACATTTATGGAAAGTGATGCAACAACATTAGTAGCTCCATATCTTGTTTTTAAAACTGAGTGAGAAAACACACAAATATGCAAATTTCCACCTCCTCACCCACGACCACGAGGGACTTCATTTTGCCCAGAGATAATAAACAACGCATTATTTTGTTATCAAGGTCATGTAAAGCGTTGGGGCCACTCAAACAAGCCTTTGGTGATATGGAGCTCGCCTTGTTAAGTTCTGATAGTAGATTTCACTGGTGTAAGTACTCTGTGTGGTGAGACTGGCCTTAACTCTGTCATTTCTACAGACGTGTTACAGATTAAAGGAAAAACCTGAACAATAAGTGGAGAAACAGGATGACATTGTCCCATCCACAGGGCTTGAGGGGTCACTGAATGGTTTGATGAGTATGAATCATGATGTGAAACACTGCGGCCTTCACAGTCACCAGATCTAGACCCAGTTGAACACGTCTGGCAGATTTTGGACTGTCAGCGCTCTCCACCACCACCATCATCACAACACCAAAAAGAGGGAATATCTTTTGGATCAGTTATTCCCAACTTTTTCCAACTCTTGGCCCACTTGAAAATCTCAAAAATGTTTAACGGCCCACATTAGACCCAAGAACAATACAGATATGCAGTAATAAACAAAAAATTTCTGTTGTAATGATAACAATTGAACATTCAGGACTGTTCTGTAGAAAGCTCAATTTTTCTTTTTTGTTTGATGTGGTGAGAGTTACATTTTTGAACAACACAATTGTACTGTTTTGCAAATGATTTGTTGGCCCATTTGCAATACCATTGTGGCCAACGAGCGGGCCGCAGCCCACAGGTTGGGAACCACTGTTTTGGAGTAATGGTGTTCATCCCTCCAGTAGAGTTCAGATTTGTTGGGTCAACACCAAGGAGCATTGAAGCTGTTCTGGCAGCTCGTGGTGACCCAGCACCTAACTAAGACACTTTCTGATGGTTTTTCCTTTAATTTGTCACCTATATATATATATATAACACACATTATACATAATTAATTGATTAATTAACAGTGCCTATAAAATGTGTGTGTTGTCAGGCTGCCACTATCGAGAGACGGTCGATGCCTCCCTCTGGCTACATCACACACACAGTCAGTGCGCCCAGCCTTCATGGCAAAACGGTATGTTTTATAATAATTACATAAAACATATGAGTAGATTGCAAGTATTAACATTTAAACAAACATTACATTAGATATACATATATTTAAATTGCTTTGTTTAATTGAATGAGCTATTTGTAAGTTTTGTTATTGCTACATAGCCAACATTAGCATTAACAGCTGTTTACTTACCAGTCTTGCTGAGAGCTTCAGCCGTTGTATTTAGAAGACAAGAGGTTATAATGCGTATTCTGAGTAGTGCTACTTCTTCAGCGAAAGTGATGAGACAGGCCAATCAGGCCAGGGCTAGCTGGTTAGCATGCTAACTTAAGTAAAAGAAAGGAAGTGATAGAAATGAAAGGAAAGCAAGAGTTAACATTGCCGTCGTTCTCCACCTCTGGAGACAGCTGTTGGTGAGTAAAGGAATGAGGTTTGATGCTGAACTCACAACGTTTCTTCTAGACTGGTAAGTAAACAGCTATGTTTGTAGCTATGTAGTATAATAGCAAAACTTACAAATAGCTCCTGTAATATCTGTTTATCACAAACTGGAAACTGGAACTTTAGTGTTTAAATAGACTTTAAATTTAATGGAGCTGTAAGAAGTAATCACAGTCTCAGCATTGGTCAGCATTAAAGAAATCAGTGACCAGATGTGCCTTCATTCTCTGCTACCAGTAAAATGTGATACTGACCAAACATTAACCAGTTGGCTGTAGCTGAACTTTTGGGAGAAGTGCTTCTCACCAGCCTGTTGCTGCTGTGTGTCTCCCTGTAGCTTCAACACCATTAATCCTGATTGATCTTAATTTAGCTGCTTGTTCAAATTAGCCACCGGCCAGTGGCGTTACAAACTGGCTACTAGCGCTGTGAAAGGAAAGCTACTCATTTAAAACAAGGAAGTTTCACTGAAGCTTGGTGTGGTCGGTATCGAGATATGTCAGATTTAATGTCCTGTGGTGCCTGACAGCCCGAGGAGCTCACTCTGCTCCTCATTCAGCTGCGCCGGCATCAGGCCAAGATGGCCTCCGCACGCCAGCACACATTAACCCAGCTCCAGCGGCTCAACGGTCCCAAAGATCCCTTCCACCACAACCACCTCCTCACCAGTACCACCACTAGCACCAGCCCCCTCCTCAGCTCCGGCCCCTCTCCTGTGTCCCACCACGGACATGTGGGCCTCTCAGCTCCCATAGGCCCTTGCAACACCCAGGTGGGGGCCCCTGCGGCACGCCTGCCTGCACCTCATTTTACCAGGGGCTGGTAGAGGTTGCCATTAAACATAAGGCAGGGCTGCATTACACTTAAATTAGATCAGTATTCATGGCTCTGTGGATGACACTGTAAGTCAGTTTGTCCGTCTGTCATTCTGTCTGTCCGACACTGGTCCAGAGCGAAATGTACCAGAAATTATTTTGATGACTTTCCATGAAAAATTAATACATTCCTCACTCCTGTTGGATGAATTCTAATCATTTACAGCAGTGGTTTTCACATCAAGGACCCTAAACTAAACCATGGACCCCATCTGATAAGATTTCTGCTTTTAGATGTTTTATTACAGAAAGTGTTTGAAACCCATGACAGACATAGTCACACATGTCTGTCATTGTGTGAATTATGGATGGAATTATAGTGAAAATACGTTTTTCCCCTTTTTGCTGGGGACCAGGAACCCCCTCAAAGATTTTCAGAACCGCTGATTGAGAGGAGACCCTCACACTTTTAACTTTGATTTTTTTCACATTATTTAATTTTTGGTAATACATTTACTTTGCTGTGGTTAATCTTAGTCCTCAGCGGAAGAATCCTGATGATGTTTAACCTCCTGGCATTTCCTCTAGTGCCATCGCTAGGTCTGGTTGTCAAGTACAGAAGACGCTGTATGGTTTTCCATACATATAATGTCAAGTAACATTTTCAGAGAAAACAGATACCTTCACTGTAACATGTTTGTGCATCACACTGTCCTGCCTACCTCAGTCATCCAGCACCTGTAGCATCTCTGGGTGCAGGATGATCAGGATCTCAAACACATCAAATTTCATACACAGCAAACGAACAGCCGTTTTTTCAGCCTAATACAAAATAAAAATATATCATAACCTTTAAATTCAAAACAGCTCTGTGAAACAGGCCTGCCATTCCTTAAAAGCACTGTGTGTAAAACATTCTCACTGAAGCCTCCCACTGACTTCCATCATCCCACCCCTCCACCACCACGACCACGACCATCACACAACATAGGCCTTGTGCAGATCTCTTTAGACCTGCATTAACATCCCATCCTTCTCAGGTGATCCCATCACAAGTGGACAGCTGTAGGTGTGAACGCACTCAAGGCGCATTTGAGATCCGATCACTCAGTCCACATACAGAGGTGGTCTGAGTGATCGTCACGTGGTCACATTCTTTTAGCAGTGTGAACGCAAATGCATCCTGTCATGACGTCCTCTGCCACAGTCTGATTAGACCTGCCACTGTATTAATGAACCGAAAAACATTTTTACTATTTCAACTGGATTAAAACCTGATTGCACTGTAGAGCTGTGAGCAGTGGAATGATTCGCTCAACCCCTACTTGCCCCGTTCTCTCTCTCTCTCTCTCTCTCTCTCTCTCCCTCTCTCTCTGAAACACATTGACAACAGACCTGTGGGATTGGCTGAGAACAACAACACGTACATGTTTATGTGCATATAGAGCGGGGAAGTGAGATCCGTACACAAGTGGTCACTGGAGACACACGTTAATATCAGGAGTGAACTGATGTACTTGTGATCGGATCACCTGCCATAATTCTGCAAACATAATGTCATCATAAAGATGTTATAATCACATAAAAATTCAATACAAACTCACTTTCATATTCCTCACATTGCAGCCATATTCACTGATATTCACATCTCCATCCACATCCAGACTCACACCCAAACCTGTAACTCACACTTGATTCTGTAGTTTTTAGTCCGCAGCTGTAAACACATGTCTCAATGTGAAATAGTGCTGAAGAAGAACCTCCCCCAGGATTAAAAAAAAAAGACCAAACAGCTGCATCAACACCTGGTCACAGTATATTAGTGGCAACCTCTACCCAAAAGCTCCCGTGCTTCAGTGGTGTGACGTCGGGCATGGTTGATCTGTGAGCGCTGACCTGGCTGCCGTCATAGAACCATCCACCTCTTTTCCATGTGCTGTTTTTTTGGCTGATCGGTTTTCCATATTGAGCTTCTGGCGACTCTGTCCATAGCATGTTGTGCTGCCGACTTCTCAACATCCACAAAGCCATCCCATGCTTTGGCTAACTGGCTGGCTGTGGATGTGATGGGCCAGTTCGGTCTTCTGATTCCTAAAATCTCTCACATTCGGTCGTACTTGTTTGTTCTTTGTTGAGTGCTGTGAGCTGAATTCAAAGCTGAATTCAGTGACGTGTCGGGATCTGCTGCTTCTGATGGATCTGGTTTGTGCTGGTCTTTTTGTCTGTTGCAGTAGCACCTAAGCATCTCCGAACATAAGATAAATGCCTGATTTGTGAGTGTTGTGATGCATGTTAGCACAGACAGTTAATACGTCATACTCGACACACAAATCTAACTACATCCTCTAGACACATTGTCAGCCAAGCTTGAATCTCAGATAGTGAACTCACACTCACACACCTCTCTCACCTTCCAGGCTGACGACACCTACATGCAGCTGAAGAAGGACTTGGAGTATCTGGACCTGAAGGTGAGACATGGAGATGGACAGAGTTGATCCCCTGATCCTTGTTACTTATTTTAACGTCTCTTTTGCTTCAGTTCAGGTGTTTTCCTTCTGCCGTGCCTTTTCTGGTTTTGATTTCAAACTAACACACCTGGTGTTTCTCACTGACAACCAACTTGTAAACGCTCTGGCCCATGTTGAACTGACCCAAGACATTAGTGTGTTGCAGCTTCAAATGGAGATGTTCAGGCATCTGTGTGGGACAAAAAAACAAACAAATAAAAACAAGTTCTTGCAGTGATCTTCTAACTCTTGAAATGGTTTTAGAAGCATCTCACAAAAGCAGCCGTCATGTTGTGACTGCGGCTCTGTCTCTGTGATTTTTAACTCCCAGATCAGAGCTCTAGAGCCCCTGATCCTCGCAGTACACAGTTTACTACTGCACTGCACTGCTGGGCCACTCAGGCCTCTAATGAACGTAAGCTCTATGTGTGTGTGTGTGTGTGTGTGTGTGCGTGTGTGTGTGTATGTGTGAGTGAGTGTGTGTGTCTGTGTGCAGAATATGTCCTGCAAATTGTAGCGTGTCTGTGATTGTGTGTGTGTGATTGTAACGCTTGTGCATGTTTCTACAGTGTCCAGAATAGAGAGGCATGTGTGCAGTCTGTATGTGAGTGTGTGTGTGTGTTCCTGTGATTTAGAGAGTCTGTGTGTCCTAGAAAGACCATCCCATTGCTTACAGCACCGCATTCACAGCTTGGCATCAATTATCTTATCTCCATGTGACCTTTGACCTGTCCCCCCTCCCTCCCTTGTGGCGATGTTGGCGATGCTGTGGAGTAGTGGGCATGGGATGGCTCGGCAGTGCATGTGTTGTGGCTGTGGCTGTGGCCCGGTGGTTGAAAAGCCAGCTGCTTCTACCATCGTCTCTGAAACGCTGCACCTCCTTGACAATAACACAAGGCTCTACTGTGTCACCTTTCTACCTTTTCGCTGAAAAGGAGCACACGTACTCCTAAACTGAAAATTTCCAAGCACAAGAAAAATTGTTGATTTTGCACATGTGCATTTTAATGTTTTCTACACTATCACTAGCAGTGTTTTCAGGAGGTTACTCTAGCACTGTAGAACCCTTTCAGTAAGTCAGCACCTGAACTCAGTGTTAATAAAACAAACATTTTCCCATTCAGAAAAAAAAAAAAAATACAGCAACTGTTTTGAATGGAGGCGACATCGTGTACAGATGTTTTATGGATAAGTCATTTTGTGCAGGGCTTCAAAGTGTCCATAGCCATTTTGTTCTTCATGGCAAGAGCTGATTTTGTTTCGCCAAAACTCACTCATGTTGTCATGTACACGAGGCTAAGAGAATGTGTCACACATAGTCTGTCTCTGCCTCGTGATAGTTGGTAGCTGGTCTGTGTTTCTGTATTTCCTTTATTTTAGCACTAATGTACCGTGGAGTTGGACATGTTGTTTTACAATGTAGCTAACATCTGGAAATGTTTGTTTTCCAATTTCCAGGTAGCTGGAAGTCAGACACTGAAGGAGTCAGGGAAACCTGTCAAGGTCGCAGAAAGTGACGTGGATGTAAGTACAAGCCAAGTGGCAAAGCCAACACTGAAGTGCCAAAAACTGCAGTTCCTCTAATGACCACTAGAGTCTGGCTCCAACACTGAGTCAATCCCCATAGACTCCCTTGTTAAAATGTCCAACTTTACAGTAGAAATAACCATGTTTACTGCCTGGTACAAAAACAGTTTTGGTCTCTAGAGCTAATTTCCTCCTTCATGACAACTGTAACTCACCAGTTTGAATTTTATTAAGACTTAAAGTTCTGCATAATTGAGGGCGTGGCCGTTTTAAGTGACAGGTGGGTTAGCGTATGCCTGCCACAAACAGGCATGTACCGAAGTCTTGGCTCGACACACGCCCCTCCTGTTTGGATTAGCTGGGAGGTAGGTGGAGTCCGGCACTGACAAGATGGCGACAGTGGAGCAGCTCACTCTGAGCTTCTACGCCGCTCTACAGAAAGCTGTGGGTGACGTCCAGCTCCATTTTTGTCAAAGACATTATAACTGTGATCTAGTTGTTAGTTTTGTGGGAAGTCTTGAGAACATATTAACAAAATTCAGTTAAATGAGCAATGAAAACATCAGTTTTGTTGTGTTAGTTGATATTGAAAGGTAAGAAATTTTTTTGCTTTTGTTTTTTGCTATTTTCTCTGTTTGCTTTCATGAAAGGCCCCTCTGGAGAAAATCAAGTTTTTAACCTTGTTAACATCGTGAGCAAAATAATCAATATCATGACTGAGTGTTTCCACCTTGAACTGCAGTGAACCAATGACTCATAAAAACAGATTCAGACAGCCAGGTGCTAGTCTCTGGTTCTGGTCTCAGACTCCTCATCTGAGTCTGGGTCTGACTGAGGCTCAAACATGTGGATGAGTCTCTGATGTTTCCTCCTCTAACCATCTTGATGCTCTCTGCTCTTTCACCTGTCCACCTGGAGCAAGCAGGTGGTGGGCGGGGCTCAAGGCCTGATCCAGATTTCTCAATCAGGAAGTAAGAGGAGATGAGCTTCCAGCCCAAGTTTTCACTTTTTATGTGGGGAACCACATTAAACAACATATGAATCATAGCAGAGGATTTTTACAGAATTTAAAACATGTCTGGAGAGGAACTTTGAAATAACTAATTTAGAGCTGTTCTGTTTTGTTCCTCTCCAGACAAGTGAATATAAAATCGAGATTGTTTAGGGAAGCAGAACTGACTGCCATGGTTCGTTTGGGAAACAAGTGAGGGTAATTAAGGCTAAACAAAATATGGATGTTGTGATGAAAGTGTGGGAGAATGTGTTGAGCTTTTAGCTTTGAGGGGAAAACAGCACGGAGAGAGAGTGAGTCTATAGATGCCACAGCTCGTTCAGCTTGATAATCCAAACAATTCCCCTGCAGCTTCTCAAACAGTCTTACAAAAGTATGTCTCAGACTGAGCTTCATACACAACTGTTTAAACAATTTATGAGCGCGTTGTCTGCGATGAATATTTGATGTGATCCAACAACAACATCACCGTGGAGACGACAACAGGATGAATAATTTATTTGATGGAATATAAAACTAGCATCAAGAGTAAGAATTTGTGTGGGTAAGCGCTTTGTTCACACCAAACTGTTCACTTACAACTTACACGACTGTTGTGTTGTTTTACCGCAGGACGATAGTGATCCAACCTTTGCCTTGAAGTTTGCTGAGTTTAATCTGGGATTAATTAACAAGGCTCAGAGCCTCCCTGACACTGTAATTGAAAGTGTCAGGTGGGTCGCACCCACTTTGTCTAATGGGCTCACTCACAGTAATTACACCCGGATGAGTCCAGGGGAGCCGGGAAGCCATGAATATTAAGTGTTGCAAACTTGCATGCCTGCACTCAAACATTAAAAGAGGAAGAGATGTGTAGACATTCACATAAACAGATGTACACACACGTCACTATACATGCTCGCACAGTCACACTCCTGCATACACAAAGAGGTGTACATGCACACTTATCTACAGCTGCAGAGACAAGGGGAAGTTGTAATTAAGTAAATGAGCCACTTAATTATCAGAGGTCAACACACTCACACACACACACACACACACACACACACACACACACACACACTTGAGAGGCGTTTTATTTGAGAGAGCTGTACAATTCTTTCAATGCTCCTCCCTCTCTCTCTCTCTGCCTACCTGCTCAGCTCTGTGTCTCCCCCCACAGGTGAAGCTGAGTCGGTTATGTGAGCAGGACAAGATCCTGAAGGATCTGGAGGCGAGGATCAGCTCCCTGAAGGAGGACAAGGTACACCACTCTGCCGGTTACTGTATGTCGGCTGTCAGTCAATCATAGTGCTTCATTCTACCAGTTGAGCTCGGTCGATCGCATGAGTCAACAGTGATGAGTCAAACGCTGGGAAATTAGAAGAAATATTACATGATGGTGCCACATTCAGGGACAATGCTTATTTTGCTGAGTTACAGTGGAGTGTGCTAATAGAGGGTGATTCAGTTATCAAAGACGAGATAGCAGTAAACATCAGATTTCACTGTCACAGTGGGTTTCTCTCTAGATTTAACATTCACAGTCATACAGAGGAAATCCTATTGAAGGAGAGGCTAAGATACTGACGTCTCACACTCTGAAGACAGTAGACCTCTGACCAGAAACACACACAACCCCAACTGAAGGCACTAAGTTTACACCTGGGATGTTGAACACACCAAAAAAATATAGTATATTATACTACAAGGCCTGGACTAATCATATGCAGCTCTGGAGGTGAGTAAGAGGATGCTAAAGACCTTGACTCATGATTACCTGTAGAGACATGCTGCCCTCTAGAGGCAGTTTGGGAAACCTGCTACCTGCTGAGCAGTCACTTTCCCCATCACTGTCCTGTCAGTGAAGCAGTTCTGAGTGTCTCTGGTTGACCTCCTCGCCCTCTTCAGGACAAACTGGAGAGCGTCCTGGACGTGTCCCACCAGCAGATGGAGCAGTTCCAGGAGCAGCCAGCCCACGCTCACAAGATCGCCTATCAGCAGAGGCTGCTGCAGGAGGATCTGGTCGCCATCAGAGCCCAAATATCACGCCTCTCCACGGTCCGTATGCCTGCGTGTACTTTTAAAAGACAGTGTCTGTACATGTTATTTTGCTGCACACAGAGTTTGGAGAAATCTATCAAATCTTTTATGATATTCTTCCAGGATGAATATATACAGTGTCACTTGTAAATATCACACTATGGCAGATGAATGCAAAATCTCATATAATGTGAAAATTGCTGTTTACAAATAAAAACAAAATAATATTGAATATTGTCTAGTCCTCGTATAGATAGACCCAGTATCAGCATGTTTTATCTTATTGTTTGTGGGGGTGCATGTAGGTGTGTGAGTGTTTGAATGAATGCCATTATATGTGTGTGAACCATATAATGTGTTGCAGACTGTGTACCTTAACACTCCTGTGTACATGTAACCTAAGACTGTGTGTGTGTGTGTGTGTGTGTGTGTGTGTGTGTGTGTGTGTGTGTGTGTGTGTGTGTGTGTGTGTGTGTGTGTGTGTGTGTGGTGCAGGAGATGGCACAAGCCTGGGAGGAGTACAGCAAGCTGGAGAGATCAGTAGAGCAGCTGAGGATGGCGCTGCACACACACATGAGCCACAGCTCCACCCCTCTGGTGAGGCCTGAGTGTGTGGCTCAGAGCAGTCTCTATGCTGGGTTTTGTGCACAGTATCTGTCACAGTCTGTGTTTTGTTTCTCCTTAAGTTTTGAAATCTTACAGTCTTTATCTGCCACATCCTTTCTTAAGAAGATGAATTATCAAACGTGTGACATTGAGAAGGAAGTTGATCACAGCCAAAAGTGAAAGCTGCAAATAACGTTTGAATGTTTGCATCCATTTTGTGTCCAACTGTAGCAAGAGAAATCTGAGATGAAGCGTGAGCTGTGGAGGATCGAAGATGTGATGGCGGGACTGAGCTCCAGCAAAGCCAACTACAAGATCACCATTGACTCTGTGCAGAACCCAGGTGGGAAGACCACAGCAGCCCAGCAGTGTTTTATAGGAAGACGGCAAGATTGATTTACAGTTGAAAACAAATAGAAAAAGATGGAAAGAGAGTTTTTAAGATGCAATAAATGTCCTGATTTATTGATGTTGGTATTAATCTTCATTCCAGACATCATCCATGCATCTAAATAAGTAACTACCAGAGCTGTCACATCACTGAATGTACAGTCTCATAACGACTCTTATAATGTTTGAAACTCTCTGCACAAAATTAACAGTCAACAGTTTTGTATTGTCTGTGGTTACACTGCATTTATTATCTTAGATTAGAAATCTGCTCCTGAGAATCAGATTTTATGAGTTTTGTGTAGCTTTTGGCTGTATGTGTTGAAATCCAGATGTCTGTTTCTCCTCTCTTCTCAGAATGTAAATGTGTTCAGAAATTTCTTCCAGTCCTGACCGTTAATCCACATTAAAAACCCTGTTTACATTTAAAAACGAAACCCTGATTTCTCTGTGTTTGCACACACTCGTCCCACCAGAGAGGAAATTAGTGCCTTCGGTGTCGGACCCGGCAGTGCCTTCTCATAGCACAGAGGTCCAGCCTCCTCCTCGCAGCTCCATCCCCACCATCCTCTCCCATACTTTGCCTCACAGCAGCGTGCCAAAGTGGGTGAGTGTCGCCCTTCTTCTGGGAAAAAAACAAAAACAAAAAACAGCAGAGCTTACTTCACATTTGGTTTGATTGAGTTTAAGGGTTGTGCATCTGAAACCTTTACTTACTGTATTTCTAAAACACTTAATCCATTTGCCTGGTTTCTGTCCAGGCAGAGGACAGCGCCCCACCCCGCCCACCACTGCCCCGCCTCTACGACTACGAAGAGACGCCCCCTGTGGTGCCTCCTCTCCCCAAAGAGGCCTCGGTCATTCGCCATACGTCCGTGCGTGGACTGAAACGCCAATCAGACGAGAGGAAGAGGGACAGGGAGAGTGGGCAGTATGTCGTCAATGGAGACTGTAAGGTATGCTAATGTTTCCATCTTTAACTGAAGGACTTCATTTTTCTCCTCAGCTTTTTTACAACTCCTATTTTAACCGAAGACCACTGACTGAAGGACTTATCTTTAGAAATCGAACTTTCTCTGGTTTCAGGCCGACTTGCGATCGTACCTGAGTGAACCAGAGCTGCCAGGAATGAGTCACCACAACACCGGGTCTGAGGTTGACTACCAGTATTTCCCAGGCAAAGGTACCTGAGCAGTAACATGTGAAATAGATATACTGATATATATATCCCCTTTTTCCTGTTTCCTTGACCAAACCTTTTTTTATTAAAGCCAGTGATTCCTTGGCAGTAAATGATGTAATGTAAATATAAATACATACATGAGTAGCAACCCTTCGTACAATTTTTAATTTACACATTACGTTTATTGGGATGTGGTTGATTCTAACTGTAATTTTTCTCACATGCTATGTCGTTGTAAAAAGATGGGATTATAAGGAAATTTGCTTTCAGCAAGTTTTGAATAAATTCATTAAGACTTTAAATGTTCATGGACAAGTGTGTTTGTGTTCGAGCAGACACACACATTTTCATTAGAAATCCAATCTCTTCAGACCAGAGGATTCATCAGTTAAAACGTACTTACCTCTCTAATAAATTCTCCCTCACTAAATGAATTTATTATCACCCACAAGAGCAGCATGATGTTTCAGAGAGATGCTCCCTCATGTGGAACGTTATCCTATTTTTTTTTTTAATTCTGAGACATGATGTTATCAAATAAAGAATCTAAATCTGTAAAGATGATAATGTTTTGCAATTAAGTTAATTAGTATTGATACATTCTGAGAAGGTTTTTATTTCACCTTAAGGACATATTCTATATTTTTTTCCCTTTGAGATTCTTTTGTCATTGTCAGTGTTTTCTGCTTTTTTCATGATGCAACTGAAACCAAACTGTCCTGCTTCAACTTGGTCTGTCAGGCACCTCGTCTCATCTGAACCAGTCCACCTCCATCTCTTCCTACGTCACCCTAAGGAGAGGCCCCGGGAGCTCCGCATCCAGGGTGAGTCAAAACGGGAAGGATGGATGTGTCACAGCAAATACCTGTGACCCAGTGGAGAAACTCAGTTGGTTTTTTTTCACTGGATTTTTTTGGAGAATCAGTTTCAGTCCTATCTTAAAGGACAAGTTTAGGGTTTCAGCTCTTTCTTGATCACACTGAAAGATTCTCAACAGCCCTGATGGCAACATCCTCATGTGTTACAGACAATACACTATCTAATCATACAGTTAAGTCATTCTTAAATATATGTATGAGCCGTCTATTCATGGACAAAACAGACACTGCTGTTTCATATATGCAATACAAATATGAGGTACGGGCTGCATTTGATGTGCAGGTTGTCTTTGTGAGTGATGGTAGTGTTCTGAATCTGTCACTTTTATTATTGCTCTCTCATTTTTGTTTACACTCGTCTTCCACCACACTATCTCACTGCCCATATTCCTCTGTCGTTCTTCCTCCTTTCTTACTTTACGCCTGCTTTTCATCTTTTCATCTTCTCTCTCTCATTTCCATCCTGACGTTATTCCAATTCCCCGCTCCTTTCCTCCCTCCCTGTCTCACCAGGAGAGACCTAAGAGTGCCTTGGAGCGTCTGTCATCGCCTACAGAGGCCCTGCAGCTCCCCAGCAGCCAGGCTCGGGGCCGAATGACCGCGGAGGAGCAGCTGGAGCGAATGAAGCGACATCAGAAGGCGCTGGTCCGCGAGCGCAAGAGGAACCTCAGCCAGGGGGAGCGCTCCTGCACGGGCCTCTCCACCTCCACCGTCACCAGCCAGCGCTCCTCCTCCTCCTCCAGGCTGCCCTCCAGCACCTCCGATCCTCCGGCCTCCGTACGTTACCCCCCACCCCCGCGCAGCAGCAGCAGACACAGGGAGCACCACCTTCACCACCACTGCTGCTATGCCACCCTCCAGCCCCCAGCCACATAATAACCCTAGCAGGAATGCTAACACACTAGCACTCTCTGCCGTGCAACCAGTGGTTGTTGACATTAGCTGCAAGCACTAACAAGCTACAGGGCAGGACTGGCTACAGCTGGCTAGCTAGCTTGGTTAACGCTTTAAGAACAACGGGAGATGAAATGAGAACAGGGATTGAGGGGAATGCTCGGCTAGTTTTGGACTGGGACAGAGTCGCTCCCTGTTTATTTTATATTTTTAAAGGTTCAGGGGTCAAAGTGAACCTTGTTACCACTGCCCCCTGGTGGGACCTCACTGACACAATTCTGAATGTAAGTCCATTGAGAAGAGAAGGGAATGGGAGGCGTCGCTCTGCCTTCCTTTCTCTGTTTTTAATCACCAGAAAGTAGAGAGAAGAGCCCATTTATGTACATCTACATACCGTGTACTTGTACACTTTTATTTATTTACTGAGGGATATTTTCAGTATACAGTTGTACAGTTATATTTCGTAGAGATTTGGTATATAGAGCATATAGAGGAGAGGCGGGGAAATGTTGGAGAAAGAAACAAAAAAAGTTTTCAGGTTGATGAAATGAAGAAAGAGGCAACGCTAGTGGCACAAATCATGATCACACCTCCCTGCTTTCTTTTCTTCAGATGAAATCCAAGTGCCTTGTTTTGCTGATGATCCTTTTGCCTTTGTCCCAAATTTACCTCCTTTAATCAGCATTTTAGTTTGTTTAAAGCACACGTCTCCACTACAGAATCATAGGAACGATGCAGGAGCTAGCACTGAGGCTGCTTAGTCTTGTTACGTCAGGAAGATGTGGGGACACTGCTGCTTTTAACCCCGAGAGGACTGTCTTTGACATTCAAACTAAAGCTAGCTTACGGCTAGCTGAGCCCCTTGGTTTTAGTTAGGAATGCTAACAATGCTAACATGCCTGAGTGGGGGAAAAAAAGTAATACAGTAACATTCAAAATGTCGAAGTCTTCTGTTAACATAGCACGACACATAAGAACTACCAGATTGGTATTAGTATTACAGGTGACACACTCCATGACCAGACTGATGTGAGATCTGCCTGTAGTCAAACTACATTTCCCATAAATCATTCATATTGTATTTCCCTATAACAGCGAGCAATACATAGTCTGTCACATAGTTAGTGACTATAACCATAAACGCCAGAGCATATTTTTATTTAATAAACTCCACCAGCATAAAACATGTTTACACCATTTTATATTTGAATTAACATCCTCATTAATACAGCCTTCTCTTGTACGGACTACAAGGTTCTTTTTATCGTTTTACAGTGGTTGATATTAGTTACATTGCCACAATTAAAGTTGGAAATAGAAGCTGTACTCCAACCTGAGTACTTTTAAGTGGCCTATGCTGTGCTGTTTTATGCATCATAAATATACAGGACAGGTTCAAGCAACTGGGCTGAAATGCAATAAAAAAAAAAAAAGAGTATGAACAAGGAGCAGACAACTTTGTCGTGGGAAAGGTTTGACTGCTTAGTGTTCAACAGATTTGAGGCTGCAACAGTTAATGAAAGAAAAAAATCATCAATTTTTTGATTGATCTTTTTATCAATGTAAACTGAAAATTAATTTTAAAGGTCCCATATTGTGCACTTTTTAAAATATCCATAAGAAGATATATTTGTGGTTTTAAGAAGCAAAAACCATCTAAATCTAGACTCATTTTCAGGCTCAGTACAGGCTGTGTGCATTTCTCTCCGGACTGAGGCTTTGATACTTTCACAGTATTAATATAGAACCTAGACCTGCTTTATAATCAAACAACACACAGACATCTACCTTTATACTATATGGGACCTTTAACAGTTTCATAGAGGCCAAATTTATTATTTTATCCAGATGTGTTCACTTCACAATTTGCTCAATAAATTATGTAAACAATTATCAAAACTGTTAAATAATAGACAAATGGAATAATCTTTGCGGCAACATACATGTAGAAAATCCTTTTTCAAATCTGTGTCCGTGTCGTACTCCAGCTTTGTCCAGCATGGCTCCGCTGTCTGCTCCTTGTTTTCCTGATAAGTATTAATGTGGGGAGCTTTTCCGCCGTATTGCTTTTATCCTTCCACAGCTACGTACAGTGAATCAGATCACGGAGAGAAAACTAGTTGTAGGAGGTTGCTCAGCTGAAGAGTAGAATTACAGTAGAGAACTATAGTAGAGAAATGAACAGCTAATAACCACCTAATTCTGTGTAACTGAGAAGCAACGCACAACTCTTTCCCTTTTTTTCTTTTCTATCATGTAGAGATTTGCACTCGACAATAAAGAGTTTCTTGCTTCTGAACCTCCTCTTGGCTGTGTTCTTCCTAATCTGGTGGGGGGTTTGATGAGTCTGTGTCTGCATGGGGTTCTTTCTCTCTGTCCTTTTGTTTTTTCTTGTGTGTGTGTGTGTGTGTGTGTGTGTGTGTGTGTGTGTGTGTGTGTGTGTGTGTGTGTGTGTGTGTGGAATTGATTCTCCTGAGCACAACAAGGCATGGGGATGCAGTGTTTCTCAGAGCATGTGAACACACCAACAGATCAGACCCTGCTGCAGGCTACTGGAGTGGGAAGGATGCATGCATGGCTTTGATGCTCCTTGGATGGATACTCACAAGTACCCCTCACCACACACACCAACACACACAAACACACACACACACACATATGTACATTCAGGTGCTCATCAGAAAATCTGAAAGTATTTTTATAGATGCAAATGTGTTGGTGTTCACTGGGGAGAAGGATGTGCTGTGTGTATAATTACAGCTTCCAGAAACGCAGACTAATCATCTGCCCGGTCCCCTCTGAGGTGATTATACTAAACATCATCCTTTCAAATCCCTGGATAAACTTCTTGCTCTAATTATTTCTGGTTGCTCAGAAATGTTAAATTCATATTTGTCTCCCTCTACCTGAGGCACGGCTCACTGCAGTGACAGTATATATTTAACCAGCGAGCCCACAGCATACTACAGCATCTCTGTATGAGGCATTTACATGCCTGCGCCCCAGCGACAGCTGGGTCTGGGTCTGTTTTTGGGTTGTCTGTCCATCTGTGCCGTTCTCGTGAACGTGATATCTCAATAACGCCTTGAGGGAACTATTGGCACAAACATTAACTTGAACTCAAGGATGAACTGATAAGAAGTTGGTGGTCAGAGGTCAAAGGTCAAAGTACTGTGACCTCACAAAAGACGTTTTTGGCGATGACTTACGAATTCATAGGCTAATTATGACACAATTTAACTCAAATGTCTATGAGGATAAAACCAAGTGATGATATTTTACATCCAAAAGGTCAACAGGCATGTTCAATGTGACATCATAATGTTCTGCAAAAACCCTTCTGGCCTTTACTCAGTGCTGTAACTCAGGTAGGGGAGATTGTGACCATATTTCCTGCAACTTGGCTGGTTGGTGGAGACATAGAACTGCGAGATGGTAATTCTAGTTACACCAATACATAACAATGTAATAATTTAAACACCCTGTAAACTAGTGGGACTATGGTGAAGAAGCCCCCCCTCATTTTACAACAGTGATATTGTCAATGCTAGTTTTAACATTTCCCCATAAACCCCACTGCTTTCATTCACAAAGAGATTGTGCCCACCTCCTCTGACCTGCTTGCAACTGCTGCGTCTGGGTTTGTCTTTTCTTTCACTTGATTGAAGAGTAACAGGAGAACTGCATCTAGTGATTATTTATCATAAATAGCAAAAATGCTCAAGATGACTTCCTCACATTGCTTTTTTTAGTCTGCTCAACAGTCATAGAAGTTGGAACGACCAAATTCTTTGCATTTTTGCTTAAAGAATTGAATTAACTATCAGTTGAATAACTGATAATTGACTAATACTAAATGTTACATATAAGATAGACATGGTGGAGGCATGCTGTTCGCATACAACTGGATAATTAATTATATTAATAGCCGACATTAAACACAACAAATTTCTGTCAATATTAAAATGTAAACATGTCCAGTAACACTGATGTTTTCTACTCAAAGACTCCCATCTAAAACTGATATCAGCAGATCTGCCTGTCATCTGGCCAGCTGTGTAATCCTGACTCCTGCCCCTTTCCAGGTGTTTGATTGGCAGGAGGAGCGACTGGGGGCGGAGGGTCAGAGCGATGAAGGACGGAGCCAGGTGAAAGAGAGAGGCAGGATTCATTCTGATGAGTGGGTGAAGGTGACGGCGACGGCCGCACACATACGAGAGGTCGACGTCGAGCCTCTCGACTACGACCTGGATATCAGCCGAGAGGTAAACACACACCTGGCTGAGACACACAGAAGTGCAGGTGATGTCAGACAGTCGTTCAGTGAGGACGTCACAGGATCAGAGACACAGGAAGATGGCGGTCCTCTAACAGTTCCAGTGTTGTGAGGCATCAGGTTTAATATGCACTTAACATCCGTCACCTCACTTACTCTTTGACACATCCATGATCTCGCACAACATGGATAGGTGTAAATGTTTATTTTCTCCACTTCCAGTCCTGTTTGATCAGATCTTCTGATTAAACAAAGGATGTAAAGAATATTAAGCCACTTTTTTTATGCTGAATTTTGTTGAAAGTTATGATTTCTTACATCATCAGTATTTCACTCGTAAAAAAAATGTTCAGTACATGAAAGAGAATAAACAGCAGGAGAGCATTTGAACCATCAGACCCTCTCTCTGTGTGACAGGGCCTGTTCTCACTTTGCTGTGAAAGCGGCCACATTCCACTGCTTGAAAGTTTATATAGTTATTTTTGTGCCTCTTATCAACCTGCAGCGGCCGTGGCAGCCTTGATCAAGTCTCACTAATGCTGCCTTCAGAGTGACTTCTGGGTCTGCACCCATCTACTTGAATTCAATCATACAACCTTATGCTCCTTCTTGGCCACCGCGTTCCTCTAAGGAATGTCGTCACTCAAGACAATCTCAGTCCAGACTGATCAGGTCTGTGGTTCCTCGATGGTGGAACAAGCGACAGAACGCTATCAGAGCAGGGGCGTCGCTCTCTATCTTCAAGACTCTGTTGAAGACTCTTCTCCTCTGAGAACACCTCCTCTCACAACACCTAACACCTTAATATGTCTAACTAGCACTTAGTATGCACTTCTTTACCTGATCTCCTTGCACTTATTGAATAGATGTAGCACTTAGTGCTTACACCAAGGTCTCCTACTGCACTGAAGCTTTAGTGATGTCCCTCACTTGTAAGTCGCTTTGGATAAAAGCATCTGGCAAATGAGTAAATGTAAATATCTCTATACATGTAAATTATCAAAATGACAGAGAATTTCACTGTTCATACAGCAAATTTTGATTTCATGCTAGGTCTTTTTTCTAAAGTTTTAGCTCAGCCCTGAGGTATTAATGTAATAATAAAACCTGAGAACAATTTCCTCACTGTCAACATGGAAATGGAGCAATACATTACCAAGCAACCTGTTGTATTTCTCCACTGGAGAAAACAAAATTACGTCCAGTGTTGGTGTAGCATCAAATACACCATGGCTGGCCTTAAACCACGGGACTACAGTATAAGACTAACTACGTGTCTGTCAATGTGCAGCTGTCCAAACCACGAAAAGTTCCCATCCCAGAGAGGTACGTAGAGTCGGACCCTGACGAGCCTGCGAGTCCGGAGGAGCTGAAGGAACGCTCCCGCCGGGCCGAGCGCATCAAGAACCTCCTGGCCAAATCCAGGTAGACAACACTCGCATGATGACACCGGAGTTAGGATGATACTGCGGTTATGTTAGTTTTGGTTAGGTGTTTGTTTTGGATGTCTAAGTGGTAACATAAAATGTACAATAATGTCAGAAACATGATCATTTTACTATAATCAAACTACCACTACATTGATTCTCTCAGGCTTCTTTACAGTCCTGACTCCTTTTTGTGTGTGTGTGTGTGTGCGTGCGTGCGTGCGTGCGTGCGTGCGTGTGTGTGTGTGTGTGTCCTTTCCAGTGTTCAGAACATACAACCATCCGCCCCATTAGACTTCAGTGAGCTGGACTCAGCTCTGCAGCAGCAGGAGAGGATCATGAACGTGTCCCAAACACTCGCTGCTGAGGCGTCACGCAAGAGCAAACTGGTGGCAGGTTAGTGTTCTCACCTCCCCTTGGCTTTAACCTCAGGATCAACCCACAAAGACATATGCCTTCTCCACTTCAAATAATCCCAGCCTTCAACCCATAAGTCACGCCTCAAATAGCCTCAGTGTAAACCTCCAGTTAGTTCTCACAAAGATATAAGCACAAAAAGACAGTGACTCTAGTAACAAACACAAAGAAGAAAGCTATTTTCCCACTCCATATGTTTGCAGGAGAGGCTGCCCATGTGACAGTCAGCTGTTGTTGTGTAATATTGACCTTAGACTGGCAACATGTGACACTGTCATTGTCCCTGGTGTGTAGGGACTGAGTGGCTGGAGAGGCAGTGAGCATGTCTGGTCCAGGTATATCTGCCATTTCCCTTTGTGGTGGTGTGGATTCACTGTCTGGTTTCTCTGTCCGGGGCTCAGCTGTTGTTTTGATCAGTGTGGCTCTGGTGTCTTTGGTGAACTGTGGTGACCTTCTGTGTGCAACAGGTGTTTTGGTGTGAGTTGTGTGTTTTTTATGGAGATAAAAAAAAAATACTTGAACACTTGTAAAGTACACTGCTCAAAAAAACGAAAGGAACACTAAACTTCAGGGATATCAATCTGTCCATTCAGGAAGCACAAGTGATTGTGAATCAGTTTCACCTGCTTTGGTGCAAATGAAGGTGACAACAGGTGCAATGGAGAGGCAAAAGCAAGACAACACCAAAAGGGAACGGTTTTGCATGTGGTGACCACAGACACTTGCTCTCTCCTGATCCTTCCTGACTGATTCTTCTCTAGTTTTGTGTTTTGCTGGTGTCCTTGTCACTGCTGGCAGCATGAGGAGGTACCTGCAGCCCAAACAGTTAGTCCAGCTCCTCCAGGATGGCACATCCATACATGTGGTCGCATGAAGGTTTGCTGTGTCTCCTAGCACAGTCTCAGGAGCATGGAGGAGATGCCAGGAGACCGGCCGTTACACGAGGAGAGCTGGACAGGGCCGTAGAAGTGCATCAACCCAGCTGCAGGACTGGTACCTGCTCCTTTGTGTGAGGAGGAACAGGAGGAGCACTGCCAGAGCCCTACAACCTGCAGCAGGCTCCTGGTGTGCATGTTTCTGACCAAACTGTCAGAAACAGACTCCATGAGGGTGGCGTGAGGGCCCCATGTCCTCTAGTGAGACCTGTGCTCACAGCCCAGCACCGTGCAGCTTGAGAACACCAGAATTAGCAGGTCGGCCATTGGCGCCCTGTTCTCTTCACAGACGAGAGCAGGTTCACACTGAGCACACGTGACAGACGTGAAAGAGTCTGGAGACGCCGTGGTGAATGTTATGCTGCCTGTAACATCATCCAGTATGATCGGTTGGCGGTGGGTCAGTGATGGTCTGGGGAGGCAGATCCTTGGAGGGTCTCACAGACCTCCATGTCACAGCCAACGGTACCCTGACTGCTGTTGGGTACGGGGATGAAATCCTCCGAGCGATTGTCAGACCTTACGCTGCAGTGGGCCCTGGGTTCCTCCTGGTCCTGGACAATGCCTGGCCTCATGTGGCCAGAGTGTGTAGGCAGTTCCTGGATGGTGAAGGCATTGATGCCATTGACTGGCCCTCACGTTCCCCTGACCTAAATCCAACTGATCACTTATTATGTATCAGTTCATCCGACGTCGCCACAGACTGTCCAGGAGTTCACTGATGCCCTGATCCAGGTCTGGATCCCCCAGGACACCATCCACCGACTCATCAGTAGCATGCCCAGTAGTTGTTAGGAGTGCATACAGGCATGCGGGGGTCATACACATTACTGAGTCACATGATGAGTTGCTGTTATGAAATTCAAGTTGGATCAGCCTGTGATTTCAATTTTTCACTTTGATTTTCGCTGTGATTGTTTTGGTTTGGTTTCCATTGACCATTGTTACGTCATTTTGTTCTCAACAAATTATTCAATGAACATCAGTAAAGATTTTCAATTTGACTTTTTCGTTCATCTAAATCCGATGTGTGATTTAAGTGTTCCCTTAATTTTTTTGAGCAGTGTATCTTACTGCTATAAAGCAGTTTAGATCAAATGGGTCAAACAGTTGTGGTAAATGGATTCTTAAACATTATATTTGTGAATAACATCTGACCCAGGTATTGGATTTACCAAAGGACACACAACTATAAACTGTTACAGGGGACTGTCCTTGAAATCTGAATTTCTTATGCAAATTAAGTATATGTGTGACTTGCATAAGCTATTACACCTACGATGTCCTGACTGCAAGAAGTAATACTGAAGTTTGTGTTTTCTTCTCAGCCAAAGCTGCTGCAGAGCACTGACCCACAGCAACGACCAACAACATAAAAGAAGAGAGTCGTTGTGATGAGGAAGAGACGGATCTAATCATTTCTCACTCTCCAACTAATTGTTTTACTTGTAACAAAGCCTTTCCTATGACTGAGAACTACATACATGTTTCTAAAAGAGTGATTTGTTTGTAATTTTCAAATAAAATCAAGTTTCACTGCTTCTTCACAATTACATCATAATTTTATAACACAAGTAAAATGCTTTGTTTTTCAAAATCTACAATTACATGTTTTGCAGTTTGTATTTTTATGAGTGAATAAAATGAGTGAAATGAAAGCCAAGGCCAACATTCTTAAATTACAGTAGTAATGTTTTGACATGAATCTTTCATTACATTGTTTGGCCTGACATGCCTGTTCAATTTATTCTGTCTATTTTCTCAATGATCATGGTCCTGTCAATCAACTCAAACACATTAGAATATAATATCAATAATAGTTTAACACATGAAACAAGTCAAGTCATTACACACAATAAATATTAAAGATATTAAGATTATTTGTCTGTTTCCTTGAAAAGTTCAGACCACCTTTATTTCAAAAATGGAAAACATTCGTTTCTCAGTTATACACTCATACAAAACAGTTTTCATGAGGTGAATAAACTTGAACATAAACTTGTACTTGCATTCACTTGTATATTGTTTTATATCATCTGCTTTGTCCTGTACAGATAAAAAAGGACCGACACCGGTTTCCCATGGGAAACATGTTCAAACTGCCAGTACATAAGGATTTGAACTTCCAAGTATAAAATAAACATAAACAAACAAAATGAACAAGGTTTGACAAACATATATACAGTGGGGGAGAACTGCTGACCTCGAAGGGGGGATAAACTCAGGCAATGAAGTCCTGAACCCAGGTGGCAGCATGCTCTGTTGGGAGGCTCCATCTGAAGACTCAGGGAGAGCATAACAAAGAAGGGAGGTCCACTCAGTAACCACTCAACTAAACAAAAAACTTATTAAGGAGGAACTCAGCATAAGCAAAGTGGAACATATTAAGTCAGTGCGAGGAAAAATGTAAGTGCTAACCTAAATTAGCTGTAACATGAATTCAGGCCTGAACTAAACACAATCCAAAACCAAACTGGATTTCCAGGAGGCAGAGTGAGAGAAGGGGCACCCAGTTTACATCAGCTCCAAACAGGTGAAGCCAGTCCTTCACTTACACCGTGTTCCAAATTATTATGCAGATTGGATTTAAGTGTCATAAACATTTAATTTCTTGTTTTTCAATTAAACTCATGGATGTTATTGTGTCTCAGGGCTCTTTGGATCACGGAAATCAATCTCAGACACCTGTGATAATTAGTTTGCCAGGTGAGCCATATCAAAGGAAAACTACTTAAGAAGGACGTTCCACATTATTAAGCAGGCCACAGGTTTCAAGCAATATGGGAAAGAAAAAGGATCTCTGCTGCCGAAAAGGGTCAAATAGTGCAATACCTTGGACAAGGTATGAAAACATTAGATATATAATGAAAACTTAAGCGTGATTGTCGTACTGTAAAGAGATTTGTGGCTGAGTCAGACAACAGACAACCCGTCTGTGCTCTGTGCAGATAAAGGCATAATGAGGAAGGTTTCTGCCAGACAAATTCATCGGATTAGGAGAGCAGCTGCTAAAATGCCATTACAAAGCAGCAAACAGGTATTTGAACCCGCTGGTGCCTCTGGAGTCCCGTGAAACTCAAGGTGTAGGATCCTCCAGAGATTTACAGTTGTGCATAAACCTGCTATTCGGCCACCCCTAAACAATGCTCACAAGCAGAAACGGTTGCAGTGGGCTCAGAAAAACATGAAGACAAATTTTCAAACAAACAGTCTTGTTGACTGATGAGTGCCGTGCAACCCTGGATGGTCCAGATGGATGGAGTAGGGGATGGTTGGTGGATGGCCACCATGTCCCAACAAGGCTGCAACGTCAGCAAGGAGGTGGCGGAGTCATGTTTTGGGCCGGAATCATTGGGAGAGAGCTGGTAGGCTGCTTTAGGGTCCCTGAAGATGTGAAAATGACCTCGGCAAAGTATGTAGAGTTTCTGACTGACCACTTTCTTCTGTGGTACAAAAAGAAGAACTGTGCCTTCCGTAGCAAAATCATCTTCATTCCAGACGATGTACCATCTCATGCTGCAAAGAATACCTCTGTGTCATTGGCTGCTATGGGCATAAAAGGAGAGAAACTCATGGTGTGGCCCCCATCTTCCCCTGACCTGAACCCTATTGAGAACCTTTGGAGCATCCTCAAGCAAAAGATCTATGAGGGTGGGAGGCAGTTCACATCAAAACAGCAGCTCTGGGAGGCTATTCTGACATCCTGCAAAGAAATTCAAGCAGAAACTCTCCAAAAACTCACAAGTTCAATGGATGCAAGAATTGTGAAGGTGATAGCAAAGAAGGGGTCCTATGTTAACATGTAACTTGGCCTGTTAAGATGTTTTTGATTTAAATAGCTTTTGATTTCAGTAAATACGACCTCCTAATGCTGCAAATTCAACAAATTACCATTTTTGGTTTTTTACAACCTATAAAATGTTTTGAAACTCTGTTGTGCATAATAATTTGGAACAGTGCATTTTGACTTTTTTATTTTTGAAAAAATACTGTTATCATTGGGAGGTTTGTTCGATAAAATTTTAATTATATTCTAATGGTTAATGACTTGAAAATTATACTGACTGTCATTTGCATTGACTATTTAGGAAAATCTGAGAAAAATAAAATTTGCATAATAATTTGGAACGTGCTGTAGATGGGAAGGGCCAGCCAATCAGGAAGAACCTGAACAGGAACAGGCCAAAACAAATACTGTCATATGATCCTGGGCTGTCACAGCTTGCTGTCTGATGGAGGTAATGGAGTGAGGTGTCCGTTAATGCAGGTGTTGTACTGGAAGGTCATTGTGAAAGACCTGTGCCTCAAGGTGCAGACTTCAGATTCAGGTGTCCTTTGGCGGGGTGTTTGGTCTCACCCATTAGGGACAGAGAGAGCAGCCTGGATGTCCTGGAGGAGTTGTCATTGTAAAGCAGTGGTAGCTGGATGGAGAAACAACTCGCTGATGCTGATTCCGTATTTCTGCATGATGTTTGACATACACTATAACAATATATACACTTAACTGTCACTAGAGAGCCCTGCTAGAAAGCTGATAGGAACATAATTATTTACATTTTTTAAGTCTTGAATTATTCTATGTACATGTTTCATGAACATATACATTGAATATGGGTATTTAAGGGTATTCTAGCGGGCAAAGTGTCAATGAAGAATCTTTAAATCCGAGCCTGAAGCCTGGATACACGGGTTCAGAGAACTGAGTGTGGAATGTATGAAGGTGAGTCATGGTGTTTGAGGATATGGCATAGAAGGACAGAGTGCCAGCTGACCAGTCCAAAAATACTCCAGTCCTTTTGGAGTTGAAGTGGGGGACAGATATGGCTGCATCATTCTTATTGTACCAGGCGTTGTATTTACCTTGATGGTAGCGTAGACTCCAGGACTGATCGTTGTAGCCAAGGACACTATCATTACCTTTTGCTTTCCTGCTGATTCCTTTATAAGCCACTCCTATACCTGTCCATTCGCCGGTCCACTCCACTTCCCAGTAGCAACGAGCAGACAGACCCTCTTTACAAAGCACCTGTCCCCAGTCTGTAAATCTCTCTGGGCTGTCAGGATATGGCTGAGCTGTTTCCATTCGTGTCATTGTTTTGTTGTCTTCAGAAAAAGACAAGTGTGAATGAGCTGAATTCACCTCCATAGTAAGCTTGCATGCATCTGATGAAAAACAAACAAAAAAAAAAAACATTTAAAAAATTTTTTGTTGCCCTTCACCTAAAATTACATTACCATAAACACATTTAAAAAGGTTCTATAAATGAGACTTTAAACAATAATACAGCACGTACATGTTAGTGCATGTGAGTCCCTCCTGTTAAATTGTTGGTCCTCCACTAAACACATAGGCCCCGCCCAAACGCAGGATGGCACAAAACAGTATACAGCGTTCAAGTGAAAATTTTTCGGAATGTCCTCCACTGAAGACACCACTTTTTCGACCAAAAAGACAAAGAAAGAGACAGGAGCGCAGGTAGACTGGCTGGTGGACCATCATAAACACCAGTAAAGTTTTTTAAGTTTTTACTCCCCTTTACCGGCTCTGTCAGTCATTCCTGCGACCCCGGTCCCGGTGGGCAAGTCCGAGGCTTAAAATCCCTACCAGCTCGACCATGGTGGTAGTACTGGTCTGGCTTTACTGGTGGGACAACCCTACGGCTCCAGCTTGACTTAGAAGTGGCTCTTCTTCATCTCAATATGTAAGTAACTTGATGGCTACATACTGTTACATGTCTGTTATCATTAGTGACGGCATGATAAGTTAGCTAAATTGGTATTACTCTTATTTTGAATGTGCTCGGCAAATGTTGCTATTGCTAGCTGGCTAACTGTCAGCATTGCTGTGGTGCATGTCATGCGTGGGCTGACGGTTGTCGTTAGATTGTTTTTTTTTTTATTTTTATGTTGACCCGTGTACATAGGATAACTTTACTCAGTTAATCCTTTTGTAGTGTGTTTACTGGCCGCTTTCACTGAGCTCTGTTACACCTTGCTGACTGCGAACGTAAGGGGAGGGGAGGTTGTGGCCAAAGGGAGATCGGAGGTGTGCCCAACGAAGCATTTGGTTTGGTCTGAGACGCCGGTGGTCTAGTGCGACATCTAATGGCAGTGACGACCAATTACAGGACCTCGAAGCTTTTGACTGCCTGTGTCCATGGATTATAATACATCCAGACCTGTGTCAAGAAAAGTCATCCATTGGTTTGATTTAGTTGTTAAACAAAAAAAAAACAAAACAACAACTTACATTTCTTCTTCAGAGATGATTTTAAGTAGCACTCTGCATTGCCTTCCAAGCTAGAAAAAAAATACATATGTCATTTGCAATGTAAAAAGCCTGCTAAATGAGTTTACAGAAGAAATATAAAACAGCAAATTGTGATGTTTAACTCAAAAGTTATACCTGACAGTAAGGTGTTCAATGTTCTCCTGTACAGAGGACAGCAGCTCCATCCCCAGTTGGCCTGGATGATTGTAACTCAGATCCAGTTCCATCAAGTGGGTGGGGTTGGACCTCAGTGCTCTGCCCAAAAAGCCACAGCCAGTCTCTGTGATTCCACAGAATGACAATCTGAAATTGAAGGGTAAAACTAAATTAGACTACAGTTTCAATTGTGATTTTGTAATTGACTGTAATAAATGACCAGTTCAGCACTTCTGCACCTCAGTTTTTTCAGCTGACATGATGAACTTGCCAGTCCAGCACAGAGCAGTTCTACTCCGGAGTCTTGCAGATCATTGTCACTCAGGTCCAGTTCCTTCAGACATGGATAGCTTAGGACTTCTCCAAGTGCTTCACAGCATTTCTCTGTGAGGTTACATTCTTTAAGCCTTCAGAAGTGAAAAACAAGTTAACCTTATGTTAGCATAATTTGCTCAATGTTTGTTTCACTGAGACTAACTTACAAGATTTACTTAACTTACAAGCCTCCAAACACTATATCACATTTCTCTGGTTCAACTTTAGCAGGAAATCTGCAGGTCTGTTTTACAGCACAAAACCTGAAGCTGTTAGTGTCTCACAGCAGTAAGTGGAAAATGAGGGAATAATAAAATTTGCATGTTACACCGCTCTACTGTCTTGTACAAGAAATTGAAAGAAACCAAATCAAACAGTAAATGTGATCTTGCATTTAAAAAAAAAAAAAAAAAAAAAAAAAAAAATTAAAGCCTCACAATCCTGTACCCATCATGTTTATCAAAGTTTTACAATACATGTGGCAAAAATGTGTTGATATTTTGAAAGGTTACACATAGCACCCTTTCCAATAACCTGACCTCACTGTATCAATTTAAAAATTAATTATATATTAAAATGATATTGCCATACATATGACTGATAAGTGTAGAGGTTAATGTTCTTTACTCACACGGCTACTCTGGATTCTTTGATCACTGGTAATAGCCTCAGAAGACCCTCCTCTGATCTTGAATATTTCCTCAGGTCAAACTCAACCAATGCTTCCTTTGAGGTAAGCAACACAAAGACCAGAGCAGCCCACTGTGAGGGGGATAGTTTGGTCTCTGACAATCTACCAGAGTTCAGGTAGTTTTGGATTTCCTCCAAAAGAGACTGATCGTTCAGCTCAATGAGGCAGTGGAAGAGATTGATGCATTTTTCTGTGGAAGGATTTAGCCGGATCTTCTCCTTGATGTACTCAACAATTTCCTCATTTCTTTGTGGACTGATCTCCATTGTGGTCAGAACGCTCTTCAACAGAGACTGATTGGATGACTGCGAGAGACCCAGAAGGAAACGAAGAAAAAGATCCAGGTGTCCGTTCTCACTCTGCAGAGCCCTGTCCACTGCACTCTTGAGGAGGCTGGTTACTTCACTGGGAGCCTCTTGGACGCTGATGGTTTCTTCTGGTTCCAGCAAGTTCTGATTGAAGCAGATGAATGAGTAGAAAATGTACATGGCAGCAAAAAACTCCTGAATGCTGAGATGCACAAAGCAAAAGACCCTCTCCAGATGAAATCCAAAGTCATTCTCCGAGATCTGTGTGAACACTCCTGAATACACTGCAGCATCGTTGATGTCGATATTGTACTCAATCAATTCATTCTCATAGAAGATCATGTTGCCTTTTATCAGGTGCTCAAAGGCCAGTTTTCCAAGTTTCAAGATCACATCTTCATCAATTTCGACCCGGGACTGTGTTTCAGATGCCTCTTCTCCTGCTGGATACTTCCGAGTTTTGATCAGCGAGTTGTATACCAGAAAACTGGTGTACATTTGTGTCAGAGTGTTAGGCATTTCTTTTCTTCCTCCATCCTCCTCCGTTCCCATCATTTCTGTTTCTTTTAAAATCCTCTGGAGAACGGTGGCAGATATCCAGCTGAAGACTGGTATATGACACATGATATGAAGGCTCCTGGTTGCCTTAACATGTGAAATGACTCTATTGGCCATGTTTTGATCAGAGATTTTCTTCCTGAAGTACTCGTCCTTCTGGGGGTCGTTGAACCCTCGTATCTCTGTCATGCGATCAACAAGATCATTTGGAATACGATCTGCAGCTGCAGGCCTGGAGGTGATCCAGATGTGTGCAGAGGGCAGCAGGTTCCCCTTGATTAGATTTGTCAGTAGTACGTCCACTGAAGCTGGCTCTGAGACACCGCAGCAGGGCTTGTTGTGGTCAAAGTCCAGAGGAAGCCGACACTCATCCAACCCATCAAATATCAGCACAAGCTTATATTTGCCAAAATTTGAAATTCCTGATTCTTTTGCCTCTGCAAGAAAATGATGAAGAAGCTGTGTAAGTGTGCAGTGGCTCACCATCAGATTCAGCTCGCGAAACGGAAGATTAATTAAGAGTTGGATGTCCTGGTTGACTCTTCCTTCTGCCCATTCCAGATTAAACTTCTGTACAGAGATCGTTTTTCCAATGCCAGAAATTCCTATAGTTAGCACGGTTCTGATGAATCTGTCTTGTCCGAATAGGGGATTAAAGATGTCTTCACATTTGATTGGCTTGTCTTCTTCTGCTGGTCTCCTGTTTGCAGCCTCAATCTGCCTGACCTCATGTTCATTATTAACAGTTCCACTGACTCCCTCTGTGATGTACAGCTCGGTGTACACCTTGTTTAGGAGTGTCTGGTTCCCATGCTGTGCTGTGCCCTCGAAAATGTACTCAAACTTTCTCAATTTGTGTCTGAGTTTGCGTTGGCAGACATCAAGCTCACCATAAATGTCTAGATGGACAAAGAAAACAAAAAGTAAAATGTTATGTTGGTACATTAATTTCAGTGCTAAAACCTCAAGAGGAATTTGTAGCCTAGAAAGTTCATTTGGCAGAAAGCAGTTATAAAAACAGTACATTAGGCCTTGTGATATTTTCCGCCATAAGCAATATTTTTCATAATGTCAGTTAATGTTTTAACCCACATTTCAATGCCTTGTTTACTGTACATTGCACCTTGGCATGTGACAAACAAAAAATTACATTTACTCATTTGGCATATGCTTTTATCCAAAGCAGCTTACAAGTGAAGGACATCAGTAAGCTTTAGGGCAGTAGGCTGATATAAGACCATACTGGCTGCAGCATTCTGGACAATATGCAGGGGTTTCACTGTGCACAAAGGAAGGCCTGCCAGAAGATGGTTACAGTAGTTGAAGTGAGAGATAACCATGGCCTGGACCAAGAGCTGGGTGGCATATTTAGTCAAGTAAGGCCTGATTTTTCTGACATTGTACAGAGTAAAGCGGCACGACTGAGAGATGGATGCAACATGGTCAGAGAAAGAGAGCTGGTCATCAAACATGACACCCTGGTTTCTTGCAACTTAAGTTGGGGTAAGGAATGAAGAGGCAATTTTGATATCGATATCGTGATAAAGAGACTGACTGGCTGGGATGAGTAGGAGTTCAATCTTAGAGAGGTTTAGTTGAAGGTGGCATTCCTTTGCCCATGTGGATATGTCAGAGAGAGGCCGAGATCTGCTCAGAGTCAGTGGGAGTCATTTGGTGGGAATGACAGCAATGTGAACAGATAAATGGGCCCAAGGAGGTGGTGAATTTTGCATAGAGGAGGGTTCCCAGAACCGATCCTTGGGACACTCCAGTGGGGAGGGGATAGGCTGAGGACATTTTCCCTCGTCATGACACATTGCCCAGCAAGCTAGGATTTAAACCAAGAAAGGGCTTTGCCTGAACAGGAAACACCTGAAACAGGAAATACAATAATATAGCCCCCCTTCCTTAATCCTACAGTACAATTATAAATCAAATTCTTCCATCATTGAAACTTTGGGAAAAAAAACAAATTCATTTTTTAAAATTTGTTGTGAAATTGATCATATATAATAATAGGATAAAGCACAATATATCAGTTATTGGCATTCACAAATACATCACATATCATACCCTCCTCTTGGTACTTACGTTTCTCCAGTTCGTTAGCGAGCGCACTGTGGCCCATTTCCTTTAAGACATGCAGTGTAACCTTCAGAACCCCCTCACTGGCACTGCTGTCTTGCTTTTCATCTTCTGTAGTCAAACTTTCTTCATCCTGCTTTTCACTCACAGAAGATTGTGAAAGGTGTGGAAAGAGCATCCTTCTATACCTTTTCAGCTCACTCTGAAAAATCTCCATGCCCTGAGTTTCCACCAGCTGCAGTGGAGAAAGTAGAACACATAGTGGGTGCAGATCATTTTGACTCATTTTCCTCAAAAAAAAATAAAACTCACCAACTTCATTGTTGTTTCAGAAATGTCTATCATTACAATACTATTATCTTATGCTTAGTTATTTTTGCCATTATGGTTTTAGTACAGACATTAGAAACATAACCAACCTTAAATATGGCATTTCCATCCATCTCCGTAGATTCTGAACAGTCATATTGGTCTCTTGAGACAAATATCGAAAATGTTATTTTTAGATTTCAGCCTGTTTTAATAGAATATTCTCATTGACACAGACTGATTCAGTCATTGATGGAGAGTTAAAATATGAGGACTACTTCTGCAGATCTTACTAGATTTCTGTACCTATAGACATAAGTACATAAGGCGTACATAAAAGGTGTTGGACAGATCAGCATTTCAAACCCCAGAGCCACAGAACTATCACTTTTAATCAAGAATAGACTTTATGTACCTATCAGCTGCTTCTTTGGTGAAGTCATTGCGTTTCTTCATGGAGGTGTCACTTTTCATGGACACACAGGATGAGGCAGGCACCTGTAGCCTATCAGGAAACTGTTCACTCTCCTCTGCACCATCCACTTTGAAGGCAATACCTGTTTTGTTTTTTCTTAAAAGAAAAGTTAAATTTTGTGTAGTGGTTATACTCTTGGTCTATCAACATTTAATATTTAAAAGTTTAAATTCTTTAAAATTTTCCCAAATAACTACAGAAGCCCTGAAAGGCAAGTGAATCTTTTTTTTGGCCAGGATCAAGTTTTTATTTATTTTTTTTCTTCATCTGTTTAAATGACCCCTGAAGAGGCAAGAAAACTTAGAAAAATGATAAAATAAAAACACTTTTTACTTGTCTCTCTGAGGTTGTTTTCACAAATTAATAAAAAAAGAAAGTTCAATCTCACTTGACTGCCCAAAGCATTTCTGGCAGAAAGCCTTTGCTGATTAAACTACTGTGATGTTACATAACTTAAAGACACATTTTATATACCTTGTGTTTAGTGCATGTTGGGGGGAAGAAAAAAAAAAAAATCACCTAGAGTGTAATATGAAAGCTTGTAGTCTGATTTAGACTGGGGTAATGGTGAACTTCACCCTCTTCTGGCCAAAATGGTCAGATTTACCTTTGATATGCAAACTCACAAGGGATGCTCTAAAGAATGTGACTGACCCCTGTTCAGGGAGTATTTATACATCTTTGTTTATATGAATGCACAGCTAAATAATGTAAGCAGCAGAGAAGGATGGTTGCAAGAGAGTTCAAGGAAATCTAGCATGTACCTACAGACATAGGTACATAAAGGTGTTGGACAGATCAGCATTTCAAACCCCAGAGTCACAGAACTATCACTTTTAATCAGGAATAGACTTTATGTACCTATCAGCTGCTTCTTTGGTGAAGTCATTGCGTTTCTTCATGGAGGTGTCACTTTTCATGGACACACAGGATGAGGCAGGCACCTGTGGCCTATCAGGAAACTGTTCACTCTCCTCTGCACCATCCATTTTGAAGGCAATACCCGTTTTCTTTCTTCTTAAAAGAAACAAGTTAAATTTTGTGTAGTGGTTAAACTCAGCGTTCTATTTACTAAGTATACAAGACATTTTATTTTCACTTTAACACAACAATTATAATGATTACAATAATCAGTACACTACAGGTCTGTATTACTGAGCAGTTGAAATTCTTTACATTTTCTGAAATAACTGAACTGATCATGTAAATATTCAAAATTCAACTCACCTGTCCACAAAACTGGACTATGGACTTCTACATCTGGAAAAAGGGATGGATGCCTAGAGTGGGAGATAGCTATTTGATGATTTATTATAGAATACATCTTTTAAAAACTTTTACAAAAAGTTTTTTTTTTTTTTTGTTTTGTTTTTTATTTATTAGGAAAGGACACCAGTATAGTAAGACAATAATTATACTAAATACAAAAAATTAAGTTCAGATTGACATTTGATATGCAAACTAACAAGGGAGGCTCTATAATGTTCAGCCAAGAAAGGGTGGGACTGACCCCTGCATCTTTGTTTATATGGATGCACAACAAAATAATATAAGCAGCAGAGGAGGAGGAATGCCCCATGGCTGCAAGAGAGTTCCAGGAGATCTAGCAAAGTGTTGCCATGTCTACACCATTGACTGACTCCACTGTATTTTGCCAAGGCACTGTTTAAATGTTCCCCTGCCTTATCCTTTACACAAGACCTGTTTGATTGTGACCTAACTGCAGGACATCCTGATACGTTTTTCTGGTTATTCTTACATAATGAAATGTTGAGTTGAAGCTTTGTCCTGGCAGTAATGACAGGGTAAACGTTACAGTACATACATTAACATTAGGAATATTTAGGTTGCAGTGCCTAGTACATAAGTTTTCCTTGTTGGTCTTTTGTCATTTATTTATTTCTTCCTTTTGATAATAAAACATTTTCATGTGGTCTTACTATTCATGCATGTCTTCCTCACCTCAGGTCCACAGGGACTTTAGATTTTGTTCCTTTTGTTTATTTTATTTCATTTATTTTAAATACAGATATTCAAAAGTATTTTCAGCTTCCTTAGTTCAGTTTGTAAATATCTGTACTAATAGACAGCAATTATTATCAGTGTTAACACAATGCTCTCAGCTCAGTGGAGAGTATTTGTCCTTCTATTTGGATTTGTAGCTAGAGCAGAGGAACTGAACTCACCGGCAGATTAGTTCAAGTCCAGTTAGCTTTGTCTGCTTTGAGATTATTATTATTTTATTTCAGAGCAAACTGTGTAGCGGAGTGTTAATCCTTGTGTGTAGTTTGACACTGGCCCTTCTTGTTAAATTAACAAGCGGGAAAACCCACCTATGTGATCACTGTACTTCAGTTTAACATAACACATTTAGCGATTAAACTCTGGTTGTATTTGAGCAGAGCTAGGTTAGGTTAGTTCAGACTTTGCATCGACAGCAGTGTGTACTTTGAACATCTACATTTCTGTTCAATGGCTTCGGGAAAAACAACCGCAGTCGATCCAAACTACTTCAAAACTGATTCCGTCCTGGTTAACTGATGCAGTCATCTATTCTAATGACTTCTGTATGCAAAAATCTATTTTACCTGCGACGCGTCTCCGTCCAGTCGAAGCAGCTTCTTCCGCACTTTTGCTTTGACGCAGCTGAATTGAGCTGTTGTGACCACAGAAGGGTGTGACCGTCCATTTCCTTCAGCCGCGATTACTGATTCGACTCACGTGCGTCACTGCTTTGGCTTTTAAAAATGTTCATCTTTGATGGACTGTGTTAAAATAACGTATTCACCTACAAACACCCGGAGAAAGTGTCGATTAGGCCTATTTAATAATGCTGCTACCATGAAAATGCCAATGATTCAACCCTTTGGAAAATATTCATTATTACAACGACCCACTCGCTCAGAATAAACTTCTGTAAATGCATGTACATCACAATTCATCAGTTTTTTTCCCCCCTCAATGTGTTTTTATAAGTATATAAATATGTGATTATAAAAATAGCAATAATATTCACCTTCCTTTGAAACCTGAGGAAATACTATAAAACTGACAGATCATATTAAAAAACATGTTTTCAAGAAAAATATATTTTAAATGTCTTTCTGAACATTCAAATCATTTAAATTCAGATTTTTAGACAAAACTGCCACTCATCATCTTCCCTCTGATTTCCACAGCCCCTAGTGATAGTTTCCAAGTAAAAGATTCCATTTCCTTGCTGAATAAAATTTCCAACATACCTGTTAAAGTCAAATTGACAACCTCACCAGAGATCCACACAGATGGGGTTAAATGCATTTGGGATGATTTTTAACCTGACCTCCATTTCATTAATAGGGATTTTCTGAGCAGTTTACGTGACCCCTAGTGGACATAGTTCATTACATACAAATCAAGCTGAGAGCTTCCCTGCATAAAACAGACACAGTGAGTTTACTTTCAGTCCACAACGATGCATAATACAGAATGCAAAAACAGTCCTTCACAGAAACCATCTCCTTTGTCTGAGAGAAACTGTAGTTCAAGTGTTAGGAACGGCAAACATTACAACTGACACTTCCTTTTATTGGTTTTCAAACAAGAAATCACAAAATTCACAATGTGTAGACCAATCACACTGAATGGCAAACGATCCTTTTTCCTCCAACAAAATTCATGGCAAATACAGTGACTGCTAAAATGTTCAAACCAAATAAAAACTGGACCATTTGCCACCTTAACATGATATAACACCACTTAACCAAAAAGCTGAGGTTGCAGCCTGCTGATTTATATTTTGACAACATGCACACCACGATGCCGTCCTGTGGTGAGTGCTTGTGTAGAGAAACCATTTCTACACAGTAAAAGAACTAGAATGACCGACAGTAAAACAACTACGGTCAAATTGTACAATTTTGAGATTACAAAAACTAATGCCTCCCTGCCCGCCCCATCCAGGCCTACGCTGACTTCACAAAGGCCATTTTGTATTCTTGTTTCCGCTCTCCGCTCTTACTGTCAGGGCTGGGCTTGGCCTGGTCTGAGGTCTGTTCCTTAGAGATGGGATCGCAGCCTTTGTCCTGGGCATCTGTTGGTTCTTCACCTTCTTTGCCACTGGTGGACTTCTCTGGCTCAGTTTCTTTTGTCTGACTGTCCACTGTTGGAGCGGGAAACAACTCTGGCTCCGGCTCAGGCTGTGAAGAGAACAAAAACATCAGTTTTTTTTCCACTTCTGTCCAAAAAAAAAAAAAAGTACTAAAAGAGTACTCCTGTTCGACAACAGGATTTGTCAGATCTCTATATTTAAAGTGTACACAGATGAAATTAAGAGTAACGTCACAACACATTTGAAAATTGTTTTGCAGAAGATTGCCTTTTTGTTGAAGTGTTACTTACATAAGTAACAATGACAGCGTGTGTGTGTGTGTGCGTGTGTGTGTGTGCTCTTTGACAGTCACGCCCCGCTCTGTGCACACAATTTGACACAATAAAGACAAGAAGAGTGTTTTGCCTCAATAACGATTTATGGGTGAGACAAAAAATGGCGCTGCACAGACAGATGGAGGCAATACTTGAGATACGTCTGTCATATGAACACACTCAACCTCTCAGGTCATCTAGAAGCATCGGCTAACCAGTGCCACAGTTCAGACGACACATGGAGAAGCAGCATATGAATATAAGACTTTGACTCTTTTACATTCTCCACTGCCTTTAACAAAACCTTCAGTGTTCATTACTATCCATGCTGTCATTCTGATCTACCTCCTATTATTATCTCTGAAGTTTAAATGTTAAAATGTTTTTATCCTTTTGTGCTTTACTACCCATGTGTTTGAAATATTCTACATAAATACATTTCCCTTGCCATCATTTCATTTGTTGGAATTCTTGTGACGATTTACCAGTTATTCAAACTAGCAACACCTAAAAAAAACACAGTTTCATGTTAAAAGTAGTTAGCCATATGCTATTATATTGAAAGTTACGGTTTGCCGACTTAAAAAAAGCATGTAAAACACAATTTAGCAGAATATCTCTGATAGTGTTAAAGCTAGAATGCTGGACTTTTAAATAGAAATGAACATTTATTACATTTAAGCCTTTGCCTGAGTTTTAAATCTGGTGTGTGTGCACAGGTAGTGCTGCGAGTTTGCCAGAGCTGAAGCGGGTGTTCTGTCATATATGGGTACACTGTAAACATATATGGAGGCAATTAAGGTCTGGACACACAGCTGCATTATTTCTCAGACTTTTATTACGTGTTGCAACACAGAACATACTGAAGGTTCCTAGGTGAAGTGCATGGGTAGGAACCTTCAGCACAAGTACTGGGCCACAATAAAAGTCTGCGAAACGTGGGGCTGTCTGTCAGGTGCTTGTGTTGAGCATCCGGAAATGTTTCCAATGTACGTATTGACAACAGAACAAGGTGTGAGAGGGAACGACTGAAGTGACAGAGACAAAGCAGGAGGAGTATGGCGGAAAAACCTATGAGGCATCCAAGAAAAGTTTGTGAAGCTCCAGATAAAAAAAGAAACAGAGGAAGGATTACAGTCTAGAAAAGAAAGTGACTGACAGTAAGGACAGACATGGATTACTGATGGTGTGGCTTTTCCTGGTTGGACAGCTCTGACAGAAGAGAAGGGACTGAGACAGACATGGTTGTCACTTTACTGCTTTTCGACAGGTTAGCATTTGTAAAAAATGTAGTATACATTTTACCTAAATAATTTACCTAATAAATAATTATCATCTTGGAACTGTGAAAATTTCTCTGTATTCAACAGTGTGTAATTATGCTCCCTGCCAGAGGGGGGAGACAAAGGCTCCACACTGCAGGTTTAAAGTGAAGAACCTGTGAGCAAGAGCTGCTGGTAACTGCAAAATGAATGTATAGCCTGAAAAAACTGCAACTCACTACTGTCAAACACATACAGGTTATTTTTTTTCTGATCTCTGATGGTGTGTTGAAAGCTGCAGTCTTAAAACAGCCTCACACTTTATCTACCAGGGATTTAAACAATGAAAAGATGGAGATACTTCTTGGTTTCGTTAAAATAAGCACTTAGATTAGCACTTAAATAAGTAATTGCATTTCACATACTGCATTTACATTATTGGAAAATGAATTACATCATCTTTATTCTCCCTGAATGTGGTAAAACGTCATTCTTTGACATAAGAAAAAAAACTCTCACTTACTGTGCCTGTTTCTGACATCTCTCTGTTGTCAGACTAGCTTGTGAACTGGTTGTAAAGTCTAGCAGCCATCTGTTTACTAGGTGACTGACATATTATCCGTATAGATGTATCCGTATAAATCTGTATAGATACATTTAATCTCCATGTCTGCCATATTTTACGAATGTCCTCTATTCTGGGTCTCACCTCACTGAAGCCCAGGCCACAGTGCCTCCGGTTGCGGCCTGACAGCTTCCCATCCATGCCCTGCTGGTACTGCATCTCCAGCTGCTCATTGATCTTCTTATCTTCCTGCCCTGCAGAGGAGACACCAGTCACAGCAGGCACACCCAGCCGTTACAGGCCTATCCATGTGCGGATAGATCTGTGCGGCGGATGTGTAGTAAGGAAGGCGGGTTAATTGCATTGGGCATAAGGACAAGGCAGCATGGGTAAATGGCAAGGAACAGTAGTTGGGACATTTCTTACATAAGCAGAACAAATCCAGCCTTTTACAAAAGCTAAACAATGAAGCTTACCACTACGGAAGTGGGATGTCGACTTGTGGTCGCCAATGACAAGGCGTCCCGTGGGTTCTTTCTGGTGAACAGAAACAATCACATTTTACATCAACTGTCACAACTTCTCCAAAGGTCAGAGTGACAGTGGCAAGGACAAAAACATAGCTTTCATGACCTGGACTAGAGGTTTACAATATAGTGAACTGAATGTAAAGTGATCTAAAATAGGCAAAACAAACCTTGCCAGCACCCATCAACCGTAAAAACTTTTGTTTCCTTTCATTACTTCCCAGATCAGCTGATGCCCACTGAGTAGATCCATCCTGCCGAACCAAAACATTGTTATCATAAAGAATCAGTTCCAACAAAAATATAATGCTCATGTCATCAGATTATTTACTTATTGTACATTACATATTTACACTGTTTTTAACACAGTAGATGCTTATGCTGTTTCTAACCAACAGGGCTAGTCCTCTGATGACTCACACAATCTGGACAAATGTGTGGCGCCCTTGCAGCCAGAAAGATCAGCGGTTACTTCAGTCTGTTGGAGGGGTATGTTTGATTATATTTGTTCTGACCGATTTATCAGCTGACCGATTTTATCGGCCTATCACAGATATATCGATAACGGTGCATATATTCTCCGATATGTGCTGATATGAATACTTTTATTAAGAAGTAATAATGCAGTGGAAATGCTCGGGTCAAGTCAAGTTATATAGGCAGCATTTTATATATATTTGATCCTTTGTTTTTTTATGTAATTCCCAGTGAAGTTTAATGTTTCAGTGCACTGATGTAGTTTTGGACGATAACGTTTATTGTTAAACTGTAAAATATCCTAATATCCTGCTTTCTTTTCATATTTTTTTCACAAGTGTTTTTTACTTATTATTTTTACTCCCTAATATCGGTATCGACCCCAAAAATCCAATATCTTCTTCGGGCTGGGCTCCAATTTATTTTCATTATAAACACAATGTGTTTGGATTTTGTTTGCCTACTCTAAGTGAGCTTTATGTGAGTATCGGAAATCAACAGAGGAAAGAATACCCTTAAAAGTTAATAAAAATACTGGTGAACTTAAATGATAATAATCCCATTCATATCATACTTGCAGGGTAAAGCGGCTACTTAGATCCACATAATGTGATGTGTGTTATGTCCACTGTGGTCTGGGAGAGAAAAAGCAAGCAGCTTTTGTAAAAAGGAAGTAAAATGTATCCAAACCACATCACTTACAAAAAATAAAACAACAGTTACAGTTAAAAGCCTTCAGCATTCAAAACATAAAGGAAAGAAATAGACTCTTTTGAAGCAAATACATTATGTTGATTCTGCTGGAAGCTCCCAGTGGTTGCTAAATGCAAATATACAGATAGTCCAATTTGCCACTGACCACATAGTACTGTACTGTCAGTTTGAAAAGTTGAAAAAAATATCTGAAGAGGTTTAAAACAGTATACCTCAGTCCATTTATTGGTTGTGCAGAAAATTTGCAGTCATATTCTACCTTAAATACACTCAGTTGTCAGTTTATTGGGAACACACAGAAAAGGCTAATATGGTTTAATACGGCAGTCTTGCAATAAATCCTACTTTCATAAAGATTATAATGTTCAGTTTGTGTTGTAACTGTTTCAGAGGTGTTGATTCAACTGTACAATAATTTTAGAGGATGTAGTCTGTGGTGCTACTGAACTGCACTGTTGATATATGTTTTTTATTATTTTGTCCATCACAATGATGATAACGCAGGCCAGCAGCATTAACATTTTGGCCTTCATGAAGGTAGTATTTAATGCAGGACTGTATTAAACTGCTTCAGTTTCTACCTGGTGTTCCTAATAAACTGACAAGTGCGTGTGGTTAGTTCAAACTAACATTTTCAAACATCTTTCCTAACAGGATAGTGACTATTGTTTTATTTGGTATACATTTCAGGAATTAGAACAACGAAGGTCTGAAACATACATATTGCATTCAACTTTACATTTTAGTGTTTATGCGTCTTAATGCTGTTATTTACAATTGAGAATATAACATCAGATGTAAAGTAAAAGGCTGAAAATGTGTGACATACAGTCATTAATCCTTGCTCGGTAAAACATCTCCAGTTGAAAAAAACAATTTGATACAAAATGATATCATGTGCGATATGTTTTATGTAATTAATTTTTAAGTCAACCTAAAAATGACGAGTAAACTTTGTCCAGGACTTAAACAAGAAACGTGTTCAGGTTTCATGATAAGACTGAGACGTTAGCAAACAGGCGAACACGAAACTAGCCTTATCTAAGTAATTCATAGCTTTCGTCTGCGACTTATGCTCAGTTTTTATTATTTTACTCACTTGACTTGGAGATGCGGGTCGTTTTGTCCCATGCCTGTCCTCTGGAGAACTCATTATGAACGAAGGCTTTACTAAATTGTCAATAAAATATCATGCCACGGGACTAGCATAGGCTAACTGGGATTTGTCAACACTTCTCCGTGTCGTCACTTCCTCCTTTTCTTCTTCGCTTGTGTCCCAGACGGTTATGTCAACTCTCTGCTGCCACTCATTGGTGGACTTTTACCTAACTAAAACGAATGCAGTTTGATACAAAAGTCCTGCAATAACTCTCCCTTCACGAATGTTTGAATGTTCAGTTTGTGCTGAAACTTTCAGAGAGCTGTTGAGGCTGCAGTTTGTGATGCTGCTCAGTTATATAATGACAGGTGTTTCTGTTATTTTTTGCACTCCATTCATATCAATGAGGGTAGTCTAAATAACAGAAAGACACATAGGAAGCATTACAGCTCAACAGCACCACAAACTACATCCTCTACAATGTTCATGAATTGAATTAACAAGTCTCCAAAACAATTTCAGTAAAAACGGAACTTAACTGCATTTATTGCAGGACTGCTGTACCAGACTGCATTAGTTTTAACTAATAAACTGTCAACTGAGTGTATCTGAAAATCAGCTAGCAACATTACTACTAACATAATATTGGATGAAAGGAGGGGTCTTAACATTTCCACAGTTTAAAAAAACAGTGGTCACATTACAATGTCAAGGGACTGAGTCTTCAGAAGTATCAAGGAACAGGCACTTCTAGCAAAATAGTTTTATATAGTTATATATATAAATAAGAGGGTTTTTTTTGTGTGTTTCAAAAGGTGGCTAATATTTAAAGAGATGCTATAATCAAACATGTGTTTTGATTACTGTTACTGTGAACAGAGTTTGACACTCTGTCAGTCTGTTTTCACATCCAATTGCTGAAGAAGGAAAGTTTATCTGTGCTCATTTTAATAAGTGTAATGTGAATGTGATTTTGTGTCATCACTTGCAGCCAGTCATGGACCAATAGGCAACTTACACAAGTGTAATATGGCAACTTGAGCTTCCAGTGCACATACACTGAGAATGACCTTTACAGGGAAGTATGAGACATCTTGTATTAAGTAGTTAAACTTTCAAAATAAACAATACCCAATTTATATAATCATAGATTCTGGGATTTTCAATGAGAAAGGAGTAGATGAATTTAAAGAATTTTTAACTAGGTAATTGTACAATGTGAAGGAAAGTCATTAGAGACACAAATCATTCCAAGCAGAGCATTTGTATGTCTTAAAAAGACTGGAGGGGACCTTTAATATAATAGCTAATAGCCTAATAAAAGCTTTATTTGGCTTGACTGTCCTTGAAAGCGTCCAGAATCATCTGTCATTTAAAACACAATGACTCTTTATTTATTTATTTACTTATTTATTTTCTGGAATTATGATGTGTTTTCTCAGGCTTCAGTATGGCGTTAGAAAGTCTTGCAAAAAATAACTCAGATTTGATCAGCTCAGCATGTCAAAAAAAAAAGAAGCTAATTAATAATCATCAACAGACATCTAATTCTGGAATTTGGAGATTACAGTATATTTCAGTGGAGGATGAGTCAATAGCCTGGCACCATAATTTCAGTGTTGAACATTATTAAGTTGGAGCTTGAATCTTGAAATTTAATTTTTCTATTTTCCCATTAAATTACATTTAATTATTAAGATATCAATTTCCCAAAGCCCTCACTTTGTGGGGTCGTGGACATGTTTAATGTAAAAATGAACCCTGTATTGGATGACCTACAATAAAACCGCCAAAAGGTGGCGCAAGAGTAAGTGTAATAAAGGCAGAGCCCAGAGGAGCTCACACCTCTAACAGGACGCTCAAACTTCATTTCTGCAACACAATCATCCAGATATTAAACGAGAGACGTTTACGTTTGAACTTATTAGTCCTTTTTAATGAGCTTAACACACTTTGTCTAATTAACCAACATGTGTCTTGGTATTTTCCTGTATTCTAATAATTTTGATATGTTTTTTTCCATAGCAAAATGAAGAATAATCACTCGTTGGAGACTTTAAAATATCGACTACACTTCAGAGAAGATGGGAGAGGAAATTATCGAAAGAAAAGGTGATTTATTTTTAAGGTTTGATCTCAAATGAATTCCTTTCTCAATTAGACTTTTTAAAAAGTTTCAAAGACGAACCAGCACTGGTGAGAAATTTTCTTATTACACAAGCCTATAAAATATTAGCACAAAGAAAAATGTTTAATATGCATTTACCTGCTAAAACTGCCCACAAACATTTTTTTAAAGTCAGTATAAAACTAGAATCTACCTACATCATTATTTGTGCTTTTCAGCTTGTTTGATTTCTCACTTAAAATATGCCCATACTTAAACAAAATCAATATATTTTTTAAATTGTTACTCAAACTGCCGGACAGGAACAGGTGACCAGCACGCGCATGCATTCACTCACACGCCTGTGAAGCCTTTATGCCCATAGAGAGAAAAGTGGGAAAGACAGAGATAAACAGAGAAGTTAAAATAAGGAAGAGAGTGGGAAAAGGAAAATATTAAGTACAAAGTGAGAGAGATTTTTATGGGGACTGCAAAAAAGAGAGAGAGACAGACAGAGAGGGAGATATAAAGAGAGAGAGAGGGAGAGAGAGAGAGAGAGAGAGAGAGAGAGAAAGAGAGGGAGAGAGAGGAGGGGTTATCCTGCCTCTGCCTCTTTACCCGACACTGCCCCGCACTCTCACTTAACCTCCACATAGCGCTGGACGGGAAGTAACTTAAATTACTTTTTAAAAATATCCTCCAAATGACAGCTCCTCGGGCTCCGCGTCTCTTCTGACAACGACGCCGAAGTATTTTGTTTTTACTTTCTGATCGTCGGCGCAGCGCAAACAGAGGAGTTACCAAAGTCCCCGACACGCTCCAGCGATGGTGACTTTACGCACGGGATTTGAAGACTGTTTGAACTGACTCCTCTTGTTTGGTCTCAGCGCTGACAGCCTGCCTTCATCATCATCACCATCATCACCGTCAGCATCGTCAAATATAATCTCCGAATTTGTAGCGAGAAAAAAAAGGCGCAGCAGTGAGGAGTCGAATCAGCGGATCCAGGTAAGAGAAGTCCTGTTGCATCAGTGTGGACTTGCACCGGGACCGTCACCCGGCGCGTCCTCCGAGCTGCTTGTTTTGAAAGTCGGTGCGCGCACTTCGGTTATCTCTGCTGCAAAACAAACAGCGATGACAGCAGCGGATTCAGGCTCCATCAGTGGCTTTAAACCTGCAGCTGGGCCGTGATTAGACTCGGTCGACCCGAGATGACCCGCAATAACTAACTCTCAAATCTTTTTTTTTAAACTTTCTGTATCATTAGAGGAAAAAAACTTAAGGTTATGTTGAGTAGCTGATTTATTAACAGACTTATAATAAGACAATGTCACAAAAAACTCAGAGGAGTGTTTGTAATAAAACCATAACAATTTATAATAACCAGCAACCAATACCATGAGTTTATTGTCAACTATTGTTATTTGCGTGTTAGTTGTATAGAATGACAAAGTCAAAAGTGAAGTATCATAAATATTGATTATTTTCTTTTATAATAACCAATATTAAGTTTGTTGTAAACACACAGAAACAGTGTGGTGGAGAGATTAACCTCAAACTGAACTTCACCTAAGAATCTTTGCAAAAAAAAGTTGTGATTTTTCCGCTGAGACTTATCTTAGGGTCAGTGTTAAATATAAACATGGACCATTAAATCTGTGATCCTGCAAACATAGCAAAAATATGAGCACAAATCTGTCTTCAAAACATGCCTTCATTAATTCATTTTCTCTTCCTTCACCCACTTTAAGCTTTTAAACTAAATGAAAGGAAGTCAAGGTTAATTTCAGCCATAAAAGATGCAGCTATATTGTTCAAGAAAAGCAGAGAATGAACTGGAGTTTAACGGACATCCCTGTCATGCGCTATTAACAGAAGTGGTTCAGCGGCTCTGTAGCACCAGAAAACGCTTCAATAGGCTCACAGCCCATTTAAGAGACATTTAGGAAGAGTCTCTGAAGCACTGTGCGCAAATGAGCTTTGCATAAAATAGCCAAGTAAATTAAAAACTTTACAAAAGGCGCTGAACTTTAATTCTAAAGAGCCGTTTTTGAAAAAATGTCTTTCTGTAGTCATCGCATTCAGCTCCACTGGAGTCTGCGGGGTGACACTCAGTAGTTTCCTCATCGGCCACACAGCGGTAGCCTTCTGTCCAGGATCGTGAACGCCCCGCGCTCTGCCGGACCTCTGTGGTTCGTGTGTGCGCGTCCCCGGGCTCCGCGGCACCTCCAGAGACGCACATTTCAGCGGATCTGTGGTGTCCCGTGTTTCCCCCACATGTAACTCACTGGACTACAATAGAGAGAAATAGACTACAGAGGGGGAGAAGAGAAGAGGGGCGTCTTTCGGGCCCAAGTTAACGTTCCCCCCTCGGAGGTCACGGCGGCTGACCCTAGAAGAATGCGTGAGTCATATATTAAAATAGACTCGGAGCCCTAACGCGGGTCCATTGGGAGACAATACCGGGGGAAACAGGACAGTGTCCCAGCACGGCGGGAGAGTTGAGAATTAGTCTGTAAGTTTCCTTTTTCCCTCCTACATGATTTTCAGTGCGATCGTTGCCTTTCTTTCTTTCTTTATGTTGCATCGTTAAAAAGTGTGGAGCGTGCGTCTTGACTTTCTGGGCGATAAAAGGTGTCAGTTTCACTTGTCAGTTACGCAGCCTGGTAGAGTGACAGAGCTGCTTGTGTATGAAGTTAATTGCGGGTGTGTGAACTCGAGTCACGCAGGCAGGGACAGTTTCTTATCCCCGGAGCGAGGAGCCTGCAGCTCGGACAATCACTTTGCCCCGAGTTCACGGTGAGGATGTGACAGGGGGTACAGGAGGACAAGGCGCACGACAGCGGCCTGAAGGAGACTGATAGAGTCACTTCAGGGTGTTTCCCCACATTCAGAGCCACACTACACCTCCGAGATAAGACACTGCTCGCCTGCAGATAAGGAGCTTTTAGAGACGCAGAGAGAGTGGGAGAGAGAAAAAGAAAGAGGGAGAGAGACAGAGAGAGAGAGAGAGAGAGAGAGAGAGATC